TGTGATTATCCTTTTTTGATGTGTGTGGATGGTTTAGGGAGGAGCATGTTGATTTCAGCTGATGCTTTCATGGTCACCAATCACATTATCATGCACATGCTGTGTACAGTCCATCGTTTTAATGTCAGTTACATGGGGATGGAAAATGTAGACAGACTGACATTTTTCATTTAACTTGTTTGTTTACAGACTGAAACCTGAGCTGCCAATTTGTATCTGGGGGCATTTTACAGTGCAGGATTTCCCCAGTGGGGAACCCTCAGGGCCTTCTAGGCCTTCAGAGATGACGATGATGTTTTTTCTGTTTCTTTCATATGATGGCAAAGGAAAATTATACAGTTAGGATGTTGTTGTGTATGTCAATACTGCTCTCTCCATGGATAAGACTTCAGGAGCTGGACTGAAGGCCTAACATGTCAGATTAACCTGACAGTGGAATCAACTAATCATGTTTTTAGTTCCAGTTTGTGGGACCAATTTTGAGAGAACAGTATCATTCTAGGCCTTCTAGGAATCCTAGATATGTCACTGACTGTGAATACAAATGGTGCATTTCAGGCAGTGTGTTTTAATGAAAAACAGGCAGCTCTGTGCCAGGGCTCAGTACTGAACTGCTACAAGATAAAATATCAAAATAAAAAAAATGCACACATGAATGTTACCTTAGCGCCAACATGCATTATAATTAGGATTATTATAGTTCTGACACGTATAGCCCTAACTGAAGGCTGAGCGCTATTCATGATTCACTGTATTAACGGATGAAAACCCAAAGAGCACACAACATTGTGAATTCTGTCTTACCCGTTGTGCAAGGTGGCTCTACTGAATACTGCATAACATGTTTAATAATATAGTAAATGTAGTTTTCAGGCTGAAATGCTCCTTAACAAGGATAAGCAACTTGTTTCTGTGATGAGTGCAGATTTGCCTCATTAGAAAATGTCCCTTATATTTGTAATTTGTGACAAGCCCCCCCATTTATTTACTTCAGCTGCCATAGTTTTCTAGACATATGCCTTGCTTTTGTTTTGGTTCTCCGTCCATTGCTCAGCCCTGGTCATCACCTCAGTGTGATATAATCATAGCTGACTTGAGCTGTAGTACAATAATCTTTAAGATTGATCTCAAAGTAGAAAGGGTATGGGGTGATAAGAAACCAGACACAAAACAAATGCTGCAGTGTGAAGCTACAGTTTTGAGTGTGTTTGAAGTTTGGGGTTTTAGTACAGCAGCCTTGTGAATGTGCAGCACTGTGCATACTGGCAGCGCAGTAATAAACAGCAGAATCAGACTGGAGGAGCTTTGAGATGGTCAGATTTCCTTTTGTGGCTCCTTGTCTGTTCAATTTGAATCGCTCTTTAAATCCATCTTCATAGGTTTGGTCAGTCGTGGGATAGCCAAAGCCGATTAGGGTCATAGCTGTACTGTGACTCTTTTGTTGATACCAATACATGATTTGCAAGCTATTGTCATCATGGCTACAGGTGATTGTTACGTTGTCTTTGGCTAGGAGTGACTGAATCTGTTGAAATGTAACACAATTTGTCTTCCCTGTTGAACAGAAAAAAAGTCAGGCTTAAAGAGGGCAATTAAAAATAAGAAAAAGTTAATGAATCAATAATTTTGGAAGGAGGTCATACCTGCAAACAAAATAAAGAACAGACATACTGCACAAGCACCGCACATCCTTCTGAGTGAGGACATCACCCACTTTAGCTCATGCACACTGCCTTTATATCAGTTTGAATTATGCAGATGAGTGGAGTTGAGTGAGGCAGGTCAGCTTCCTTAAGTGAACCATGAATTCTGTAAACCCAGGAGTTGATCTTTGAGTCTCCAAATAATGTTAGTTTTCTTGTAATTTTAATCCCACAGCTTCGACAGAGTTTTCAAATCAAACATGTTTTAATTAAAACATACACTGCATCTCTGATTAACTAAACTTTTTCATATGATTTGGCCACACTCCTGCCAACCAAAACAAACAAACAAACAAACAAAAAGTGGACATATGTAACGTTTAACCTCCGTTTCAAGATATTTCACTGAAGCATATATTTTGTTTCTTTGGTATTAAAAGTTAAGCAAAACCCTAACTAGTGAGGCAGGCTTATAATATTTACATGTGTATTGTTAGTGTATTGTTTGCACTGTATGTCTCCAAAATGGCAGTGGATAATTCATCTAGTCTCTTTGATACTGCCACTGCTGTTAAATTCTGACAGAGAACTCACAGAGCAAATGTTCTTCACATTCCTCCCCAGTTGAATATAAAACACTAAAGTTTGTTTGTTGTTTAGGTAGCTTGTTGCTTTTGGTAGGAGCAGGCACAGTTCAGCAGAGTATTTTGAAAAAATAGTGATCAGTCAGTGCTAAATATGCAGTCCTAAATGTATTCAGCAAAATATTTTACAATATCACAGTCCACAAAAAAGTAAAATAAAAAGGAATATGTACAGAATACAATAAGGTATGTGTGGGTGGCTTTGCTGTAGTCATTTTTGCTTAATTGGCACTGTTCATATTGAATTTCTCTCTTTGTTTCACAATTTACAAAGCAGAACTGCTCCCTGTTTAATGAACTAACTTTACATGTTTAATTTTTTTCCACCAAATGCATACTTTTTGCTAATCTCAGCAGACCTGAAAATTAAAATTGGCTGTATATCAATAACATAATGCTTTAAAATTCACTGTAAGGGCAGCTATGTGCTTTTCAGTTATTGAAATGTATGTAACTTCATGCCATGAAACACATTAATGAGTCCAGCACAACCCTAATGCAAGTCTTATCACTCTCAAACATGTCCACTACTGAGGAGACTGTTCATTTATATCATTCAGCAGAAGAGCTCAGTAAAGCTTTTGCTAACTGGCCCATCACACTGATTTATTAGGCAACTCAGGCCTTAATGTTTGAAAAAAAAAAAGCCATTTGTTCAGTTCTCCTTTAGAGTACACTACTGATTTAAAATGTGTAGTTATTTCAATTTAGTGAGTAAATATGCAAAAATGTAAAAGTAACTGTATTGGGAAATGTTGCCATCATTATATGTAACTTGGGCTTAATACAGATACTTTTTTTCTGTACTCTAACTGCATATTCCAAATATTTGTATTCTGTTACACCTGAGCCCTGAGAGCAGGCGAATATCAGAGCAAGATTTGTTTTTACATGTTTTTAACATTTTCTGTGTGGCAACACATTTAATATGAGTAGGCCATCATTATAAACCTTTTTTCTGTTCTTTTCTGTTTTTTCTGCTGAAACTTTACACTGTCTGCCATCTCTGTTAAACATAAGAGAGATACTGTAAGAAAACAAATACATTAAGAGAGCAAAATGTGTCAAAATATATACATAATGACATATTTTCTTTACTGAATCATACTTGAAAACGCAATAAGGAAAATGCTCAGCAAATAGGGAATGCCACACGTCCTTCTGAATGTCTGTAGAAGACAGAGTAAGTGATTCAGGATGTATGAATGAGAGAGAGAGAGAGAGAGAGAGAGAGAGAGAGAGAGAGAGATGACAATGTATAAACTCGAGAACAGGTCAGATAGCTGAGTCACATCTCCCCCTACTGGCACAAAACAGAGAGAAGTCTTTGCACATGCATTTTCAGACTTTAAATGCAGCAATATTCATTTTAAAAAAGGAAAAAAAGCAAAAGCTGAGTTGAAATGATACATATCAGCTCTTTTAGTCAGTAAACAATACTTGCCCCATTTCCATGCTTAACAGTAGAGTGTAGTGTAAAACCCCATCAAACAACAAACCACAAACATGATGCTAACAATCAGATAATAAGCCAGAAATACAGAACAAAGCTGCAGTTACAGTTTGAAGCAGGGGCGGTTTGTATGTTTGGTGTTTGGGGTTTTGGTACGGCACTCATATGAATGTGCAGCACTGTGTTTACTGACAGCGCAGTAATAAACAGCAGAATCAGACTGCTGGAGCTCTGAGATGGTCAGTTTTCCTTTCAGGGTTGTCTCTCTGTTCAGTGTGAACCGGTCTGGGAGTTCTTTGCTTGGACTACCTGTGCCGACGGTGTAGCCGATCAGAGCCAAAGCTGTGCTGTTGCTCTTTTGTTGATACCATAACACAGTAGTGTAAGTACTGTCATCATGGCTACAGTCAATCTTTACGGTGTCTCTTTGTTTGGCAAAAAGCAATGAGCTCTGTTGAACCTTCACAGAAGCTGCACCTGTTGAAGAAAAAAGCTGTAAAACTTGAAAAATCTGATAACAAAATAATACTATAGTAATTATTTTTGATTGCTTTTTGTTTTTTAATAAGCTGTACCTAAAAACAAAACAAAAAATGCACACAATCCACAAGCAACATGCATCCTTCTGATGACTGAATCTCACTTTGCCTTTATGCCATGAGCAGCGCAGACACTGAGAGTCAGACTGAGAGAGCACTCTGATGCCGAATAGTAGAGGAGAAACTGTAGTGCTTGTGCAGCCACAAAGTGGGAAGTAACAAGTGCAAACGTGTAGGGAATAAACATTTACAGTCATTTTAACCCCTATCCCTCAAATAAACCCTGTGCTATCTGAAAATAACTAATTTAAACATCTAAAGGTATTTAGAATAAAGTGGATGCTATAAATCTGATATTTCTGGCTATCCTCCATGTATTGAGAAGAACAAAGTAGTAAAGGTGTACACATCACGATTCTAAATTTTCTCAACATTTTCACCAAACTTGTACTGCTGAAGCTATTACAGTAAAAATCTCCTTTAGGGCAGCATAATTTGAAGCAAAAACCAAGGGCCATGGCAGTAGTGTCAAACTGGGTTCCTTCTGGGCCTTCTGCGTTCCTTCTGCAGATATTAGCATTTTCCCACTTCTAAAGGTCTTGCTTATTAACTGATGAGTTGAACCAAGTTGGTTTAATGAGGCAAAACGCTTAACAGTGCTGTGGCCCACCAAGACTGGAGTCCGCACATGTGGACTGTAGAATTTCAGTTACAAAACCACTGGTAACCTACTGCTAAACCTGTTAAATGTATCAAAACTTCCTTCTCATCACAATCTCTATTGCTTTACACTAGGGTGCCCAAACGTTTTATCATGGGGGACCAAAATGTAATGCTTATGCAATGTAAAACATTATAATTGCTTATTTTTTGGTTTACTTCACTAATATGCTAAAATGCAAATCTAGTAATCTAGTGCTCAAGAAGGTGTCCAGCATTCTTAGCTGTTTTGTTGGTTTCTGTTAAATCTTATTTCCGGTAACACCTTATATTAAAGGTACATGACCTATCTGTAATTAAGGCATTTACTAATGAATAACTAATCAGAAAATAATGAATCATTAATCAGGAACAAATGAATCAAGTCATATATTAACAACCACAAGACTAAATTACTAACGTATGTACTAATGAATGAAGATGAAGGCAATAAAGGCTTTATTCAGTGCCTGAATTAATTAGGAATTCATGTGTTAATTAAGCATACAAAAAGAATGTTAGTACACATTGGCGAACTGCTAGAAGCTCTGTTAGTTTCATTCTATTCATGCAATTTATGATTACCTATGTCATACTGCAATGTCATAATGTTACAACAGAAACATAAACTGTTGTATGTTTAATAAACGCTAAACTAGTTTATTTACTGAAAATAGGCATTTGATTTAAGTAAAACTGTGAATTATCTTAATATATGCCACAGTTATTCTGAGAAATACCACCTTCAAAAAATGAAAATGTGTTTCCCATTATACATCTATTATTCTTTTTAAAAAATGTTTTATTAATGGAAACACAGCATTTTGAAATGTAATGTCAAGCGGCCATAGAGTCTTGAGTGAATATCTCTAGTACAATGTTTAAGAGAAGCGAATGAAAATAATTGAAATAATAAAAAAAATCAATATTTCTCTTTTCGCCTTTTTGCAATATTTCGCATTTTTCTTACTTTTAAAGGTGAGTTATGCATATGCATACTGTATTATATACGTAATTTACATCGCAGATATAATATTTACACGTGGTATTGTTGTCTGAGCGTTGTGAGTGCTAGTATGTATGTTCGTGCCTCACCTCTTTTTAGACTAACGTGTAAAACATGCAGCTGTTATCTGCGGTGAAACAGAACGGATTTGCAGGTACTATTATTACTAAATTCGTTATAAAGTAGCTTAAATAATTGGTTTGGTGCTTAGTTATTTGGAATAAACCTTTTTGGTTTTAATAGTAAGGTGTTTGTCTTCCTCACGAGCGTCGTGTGATTGTAGTAGTAATATGTGGCGTCAGGCACGTCTGTTCTGTCTGGTTAAAATCACATGTTAATTTTATGCTGCCTGGTTCATTTGTTATTCCTCCTTTGACAGGGACTCTTATTGTGAAGGGCTATGTGTGCGGTGGCAGTGCTTCACAGGGCCCAGTAGTAAACAGACTGAGCCGAGACAGCGAGAGGGCGCTAACTGCGCTTAGCCGAGCGCTAACCTGGCGACGTTTTCTCCCCTTTCTTTTGTGCTCCGTTCTGAGTTTTTCAGTAAAGCTGAGTCACAGACTCAGTCTTCAGCTTGTGTGAGTTATGTGGAAACACCGCTGCAGTGTGAATATGTTTGACTTTAATCAGCCAGCAGTTCTGTCCGTTTTACAGATGTTTGTGGAACTACAGAACCACTGTGTGTTGGGTTCTCCTCATTTTCCGTGTTACAGTGACAGATTCACCTGCTCTGGTTCTGTGTGTTGTGTAGACGTCATAAGATGATGATAATAATAATATGCTTTTTTATTCCTGTGAATTTCGTCAATGTCGTGTTTTCATATGAGCCATATTGTAAGTTAGCTACTTATCCTTCATCACTGTCCTTGAGAGGGCAAAAGAATGACTGTCATTTTGGTAAGTAAAATGATTAATCCCTGCTATTTTATTAGCTTTTAATCAGTAACAAAGTGTGACTGGTTCATCACTTTACTTTAGGAGGCACAAACATGAATTCATCATGAGTTATCAGTAATCACGGCTTTCTTTATAGTGAATTGAGAATTGACACTGCATAGTTTTGTATTTTTCTCATACTGACACACCTCAACCAGCACAACAGGAGCTTGTAAATCAGCAGTTGAGTTCAGTCAGGTGTACTAGATCTGGGAAAGCACAAAAATGTACATACAATTAAGGATTCTTATGACCCCACGAGAAAGACACTCCAATAATGAACTGATTTCTCAGTTCAGTGGTAACTGTAGGCTAAACCATTCCCTCATGAGGCACTGAGTGACTAGTTGCAAAACAATGTCAGTGTAAGCTTTTAATTTTACTAAACAGTCACTAGGTGGATAGAAACAGACGAGGTAACATAAGAAATCAAAAACAACAAACTCAAGACCTGACAGATAGAAACAGGCAAATACAAGGGCTGCTTACACAACATGATGAAGAAGAAGGACAAGATGATGAGAGGATGGAGCTATAAAAAAAAACAGTTGACTTTGATAGGCATAATATTCCAGAGCACTGTGCCTCAGGGGGATCTTGTGACAACATTAATTAGAACATGAATTCTTAATAAATTCAGGCACTGAATAAAGCCTTTATTACCTTCATCTTCATTCATTAGTACATGCGTTAGTAATTTAGTCTTGTGGTTGTTAATGTACGACTTATTCATTTGTTCCTGATTAATGACTCATTACTTTCTGATTAGTTATTCATTAGTAAATGCCTTAATTAATGGCAGATCATGTACCCTTAATGTAAAGTGTTACCTTATTTCCTAATATGTATTGTTAGTAAAAGTGCCATGTGAAAAACAGCTAAAACTAAAGTCATAAAAAAATATAATATGCTATAACAGCATGTATTCTTTCATTGCTTAAGGAATGAGAGGGGGTTAGGCAACTTTCTGCCAGGCCAAATCAAATGTCCTTGTGGCTACTGTGCCATGTGTATGGCTCTCCACACTGGATGAATACTCTACGTTCCTGCTTCACTACAAGCTCAAGGATGTCACAAATAAAAGGAAGAACAGTTCAGAAGCAGTTTGTAAACATTCTTATGATGCACAGCTTGAAGCAGTCATGCTCACATACAAAATTATAATGATCAAGAGAGAGACTGAGAGAGTGAGAGTGCTAAAAAGAGCATTGACACTGTTGCCTTTACAAACACACACTTGAGCATTTAACCATATTAGCTGTAAAACCCTGAGGAGTCTTTGTGGTTTAAAGGCTGTGGGGGAGGAGGGAGTGTCGTGCCACAGCTGCACTTACAGCTTTCAGGAAATGTTTTTTTGTGGGCTATCAGGAAATCAGAGGTCTGTTTCTCTATGCTAAGATGTTAATGCGTTCAGTTTGTACATGATGGCTTGTCATTTGGTAGGTTTGTGTTATAGTGCAAAAAGTAGCATCATCATGGTGGAGTCAGGTGTGAGTGCCTGGCTGTCTTCCAGTATGTTTTTGTTCCACAATATGCCAACTCTTATTCACTGTGGAAACTAGCAGCACACAGATATAATGCATCACTGTCCTTTTTGACGTCCACTGTCAGAGACCATTTCTTCCTCTCTGTGCCCCAGACCGTAAAGCCGTTCTCAAAACCCTTCTCATACGTGGGGTTTTGAGCTACATATCTTGCTATAAGCACTGGCTCTTTGCCTTGGAGCTGTCTGTACCAATACATGTAGTCATAGTCAGTGTCGTTTTGGAAACAGTGCATGTCCACTGAGGTTCTTGTGAGTTTGAAGACGTATTCAGGCCACTGTGTGATCAGCACTCCTTCACTGAAGCCTAAAAGAGAAAAAATAACGAGCAGGTATGGATTATAAAAATAACGTGACATTTCTATGTGGAAGATTCAGTTCAGTTTCAGTTAACGTTCTGAAAGCGGTCTTCTCTAACATACCTTTCAGTAAAATAAGACAGAATGTGTATTTGAGAGCTTCTGCCATGTTGACCTTGGTTTAAAGAGAAGTGTTGATGAACTTCAGCTGTGGAATTCAGTTAATTTTCCCACATTGTCCATGTGATGTGCACTATGACAGTGCAGTCACTCCCCCCATGCTCTTTCGTCATCAGTCCAATGAAAAACATTTCTGCAACTACAGGCAATTTTAAGTCCCATCAGTGTTTTTTGTAGATACATGTTCACGTTTTTTGCACGAGTCAAACACAATATTTTTTAGCATGAAATAAAGACTTTTGCACAATATTTGGGTACCACTTCACAGTAAGACTGAAGTTATAAGGACTTTAAAAAGGTTTCAAATTTGTTCATTCATGGTTATTAATTGGGTCATAATCAGCTATAACACATAAATAAAAAAAGCAACAATCTGATTCTACACTCTCAGAAAAAAAGGTAGTAAACTCTCACTGGGGCAGGACCCCTCTTGTGACTGGGTGGTGCCCTAAAGGGTACATCTCAGTACCTTTATTCAGGGAACATAACTGTACCATTATTCACTGAAATTATATTTTCTAAGTTGTATTGACTCCACACACCCCGTCTTGTCTCCAGGCTTTTTATTTTATTGTTCTGTTTTAAAACATTAGGTTGCGAAAAGGTACAAATATGTTCTTTTCACATGGAAAAAACATGTAACAGTGTATAGAATTGTATGGAGAAAACAAAGAGAAATAAGTAACCAGCAAGATCTGAGCTTTAACAGTATAGATGAATGTTGGCTCAGTATTTGGCAAGCAACTGGCAGGAAACTATTAACATACTCATTTTAAAGCCAAAAACTTTTTATAAGGGTTGGCTTATTGTAAATTGTGACAATATTTGCTAAATGTTTGAGTTTGTAGAATTTATGAAGCATATTTTGGGTCAAAAAAAACAATTTTATTTATATTCCACATTTGTAATTTTAATCAACAGATGCGTAAAAAGAAATTGCCAGCCTAAAATAAGTATCCATTTTCCAGTTAACACTATTTTAAAATATTATTTAAAATTCATACACTCTTGTCTAAAATTTGAGATTACCAAAAGTGCTGTATTGGCAGAAACACTCAAAATGTTGTGTTAATTCCTGATAAATAGTTTGTCCTGCATTAAAACGTTTCATTTTAATCAGAATTACACATAGTGTGCATGGCCTTTGTGTGGATTTCCTGTGTGCTTAGGTTTTAAGTCAGGTGAGTGATGAAACAACAGCACTGTGTCTCCTGACAGCACAGAAATAGACAGCAGAGTCTGATATGCTGAGGTTAGAAATGGTCAGGTCCCCCTTTAGTGTGTCAATCCTGCTGTGTTTGAAGCGGTCTGTGAATTCAGGCTCATAGTTTGGTGTAATTTTGGCATAGTTATAACTGATCAAAGCCAGAGCCGGGCTGTCTCTGCGTTGTTGATACCATAACATGACATCTTTATCTGCGTCATTATGGCTGCAGGAAATCTTAACATCATCTGTTGATTTTACTATCAAATTTGATGGTTGCTCAATCAGAACACAGTATGACAGACCTGTTGATGAAAAAAATAGCATGAGATTTAAAAAAAAAAAACAAAAAACATCAAACTGTATAAAAAATAAGAACATATTTGTATCTAAGTTGTTGTTTGGAAGTCGTACTGGATAACACGCTGAGAAGAATGTAGAGTCCGCAAAGCACCTCAAACATCCTTCCGATGCTCAGTGTCAGTCAGAGAGTGACTGCAGAGTACAAAGAGCAGCAGCAGAAAGTCTTTTCACCCTACCAGTCTCACGATTCATCAAAACTACCTGAGTTATATCTCCCCCTGTTGGCTCCAAAAGTGAATAAAAGTAACTTTCATTTTGTTAGTGCTTCTATTTCTACATTATTTAATAGTAATGTGGTTCTTGGACTCTCACCCCCACATCTGCAAGAGTTCTGCTCAGAAAAGGCTAAGAACAGCACATGAGCAATACAAGTGAGAAACAGTGCTGTACAAGCTGTATATGCAAATATTTGAAAAGCCCTGGTAATATTTATTATATCATCTACAGGGAACAAAATAAAATGTGGCATTTGTCTGCATATTGTGGTGAACAATTCCCATTTATTTGCCAAGATGAACATATTGGGGAAAACACACACACACACACACACATTTTCTAAGCTGCTTATCCTTCTGGGCCGCAGGGGCAGCTGGAGCCTATCCCAGCAGTCATTGGGCGGAAGGCAGGACACTTCCTGAACAGGTTGCCAGTCCATCGCAGGGCAGACAGACAGACATACACATTCACACACACACTCACACCTAGGGGCAATTTAGCATGTCCAATAGGCCTGACTGCATGTCTTTGGACTGTGGGAGGAAACCAGAGTACCTGGTTTGGTCCTATGGTCTATATAGAATCAGCTTGACAAAAATTAAACATCCAAAAGAACCATCTGCAAAACCATGTTTCTGTCGACAAAACAGTTATTCATATGGCTAGAATGAGTTATTTACCAAATATTTCAGGGCTAACTCATACATTAGACACTGAAAATATCCTGTTGAACAAGTGCTATTTTTAAGGGGAATTCTAATGACAAGTAAAGCTTTATTAATAAATACTAGTGATGTTGCTTTCTGCAGCAGAAGATCACCTCAACTGCAGACACACTTTCAGTAAGCGTGTGCACGCGGTTAATGAGATAAGTGTTTTTGCAGAAGGCAGTGGGAAGCTGTGGCACTGTGCATCTCTCACAGCGCAGTAATAAACAGCACTGTCCTCTGAGGAAAGATTGGAAATCTGCAGTGTCCCCTCGGTTTTTGCATCTCCACTAATGCGAAAGCGCTTCTCCAAGTCCTTTTCACTGTAGAATGTTGTTGTGTAGAGGTATCCAGTAAGTCTTAATGATGTGTCTTTCGTTGTCTGTTGGTACCAGTAAAGGTAAAAATAGTCTTTGTATGTGTGGGTACAACTTAGGCTTACATTTTCTCCTGGTGCCTTGAACACTGCAGTGGGCTGAATGATTTCTGAGCTTAAGGAGATATCTTCAGAGAAGAAAGAACTCTGATTAGTATCATCAATTTCTATTAAATTTGATTTAAGCTTGTGTAAATGTATGTCTTATGTGCGTTTTGTTCTATTCAGTAGGCATTACCTGTCATCCAGAGGAGCATAATGTGGAAAAGCAATGTTTGTAACGCCATCATGAATGTGTGAAGTGAAATCTATTGTAAGAAGAAGTCAGGTGGAACAGTTGCTGCTGGAAGAAAGTGAGGTTGTAGGAATGTGTTGCTATTTATTTAGTGTGTCAACAGCTTAGGCAGCCAAAAAAGAGCCCTGACTCGACCAATTACATTTTTTTTTTATATTTGCATATATAAGGACTCTTTTGTCTCCTCCTATATAGTGTTATGAAGTCCTTGCTCTTCTGAGGTCGGGTATGAGGAGGGGTTTTTGTGTTGTGGTCACAGCAGATATGGAACTGTGCATATGCTGCACAGAAGTAAACCGAGCTGTCGTCCGCAGTGAGTTTAGCAATGCCGAATGATCCCTTCGACCTTCCATCTCCATTCAGGGTAAACCTCTGCTCCTCAGGGGTTGGAGTTAAATAAAATAGATTCCCAAGATATTTCAACTCTGTCTCTGAGTTGCCCTGCTTGTACCAAAGCATACGGTCATATCCTGATATAGTATGTTCACAGTAGAACACGGCAGTATCTCCTATGTGTTTTATCAAATCTCGAGGAGTCTGGACAGCTTTGTTACTCAGTGTTTTTGCTATAGAACAAAGAAAGAGAAAAAAATATTTGCTCCTTGACATAAACAAATCTCATTTATATTTTTATTAATGTAAGAGATAAGGTATATATCTCACCTGTTAATAATAGCAGTAAGACAGTTTTGAGGATAAGGAATTTGGGTATGGGCATTGCCTGCATCATTGTGAAGAGGTGTAAGAGACAGTCAATGCTGAAGCAATCTGTCTGTGTGCATAAGACACAGCCAAGACTGTTTCAGCTGTTCCATTTCTCCTCACTGCCCCCTATTGGAATAGCAAGTATTTTAAGTGTTGTGCTCTTAAAAATGTGCCAGACAGTGTTCTATTAAAAGCCCTGTCTCTGTACATGAACTACCACATATTCTATATTCTATGACAGTTTTTGCTAGACCCATACATCCACTCAAAAACATTTATTTTTAACATTTTAATATTAGTTGATATTATGTAACTGTAATTCATATCTGTGTGCTGCATTAGACATTTTTAAAAATAGCTTAAGATTGTTAGGGCTAATTTAAAAGGGCATATTTCTCTAAATTTCCAATGTAATATAAACCAAAGTGATATACCAACATTTAAAAATGTAAGCAAACCCAATAATCTAGATATCTCTGTGTCATTGCTTTTGTTGCTTGAACTACAGAGGCCCCAAAAAGTATTTGGATGTTTGTGTCATTCTTATAAATGTATTAAGTTAATTGTGTTAGAAAACAAAATATCAAACCAAGCAGCATTTATTTTAAACACACTATTCCTTGACAGTTACTTTCTTTTTAGCAAAGTATTCTTTCAAAAAAATGGTTTGTCTCAGATTATCGTTTGAGCAGTTTCTTTGCAGACTTCTGCAGGTTTGCATCCAAAGTGCCTTTTTACACTTCTGAGTTCATGATTCCATCATTGAACAATGAACCTAACACTAACAATGGTCATAACCAAAACCTAGTCCTAATTCTAACCCTAACTGTTCAGAATTCACCAGATAGTTTATTAACAGTTTAGTGAAGTATGTAAACACTGCTAAAGTGTTTTCAGTTAATAGTTTTTATGATGTCACCAAAACCACCACGTCAGTCACCTCAGCAGTTTAGCTCCACCCATTCACACTGAAGTTATAAGGAGTGTTTCAGCCAAGGCTGCTCTTTAAGTGAGGCACAATACAGGGCAGCCAATCAAATCAGAGGTCATTTACATATGTTTTAAAGATACAGTAATGAAAACAGGCTGTTTAATTCTAAGAGCAAAGGGAGGTTGGAAAACAGTAAACATAAATTCTAACTGATTCTTCTTAGTTAGAAAAAAATAAAATGCAAGATAAATGAGTGATATGAGTCCTTTAATGTGTAAAATGTAATGTCTTTTTAATTTATGTTGCATAGAATTACCTGATGAGAGCAATTAACTTCAATGGAAATATGTTTTTTTCCCTACTGTGAAATATGATCAAAAACAAAAGAAAATCATAAAACAATGGTTGATGGTTTGATAATGCAACTGGAATAATCAGCAAATCTTTAAAATATATTGTACTATTTCTTTTATTGGTGACCTCTAATGGCACAGTTTCTATATTTTGTTCTGGTGCAAACTGTCCTAATCAGAGATCAGCCTCTGTCTTATTTACAGGTGTGGTGTGTAGCTTTTTGTTGAGGTGAGCAGGGAGGTGAATGGCTGTGCATACTAGCAGCACAGAAATATACCGCGCTGTCTGCCGCAGTTATATTAGATATGACCAGAAATGCATCACCCTGAGAGTGTCCTGAGATGTCGAATCGTGCTTTGAAACTGTCCTCCGGCGTGGCTCTTTCATAGTGCAGCATTCCGATCAGCTCAATGGAGCCATTCTTCTGTTGATACCAGTACATGTAAGGATAGCTGGTATCACCATGTCTGCAACTAAACTTCGCTTCTCTCTGGTCAGGTGTCTTCAGTACATGTGGCGGGGACTGCTGGATGATGAGAGCAGAGAACACGCCGACTACAAGAAAAAGCAGTGATATCACTCTCAAAATATCATAATAAAGAACATTCAGATCATTTTTGAACCATGCTCACCTTCTACACTGAAGAAAAAGACTATGATTGAGATTTTGGTCATGTTTTCCAATGCTGTGTGACAACTTAAATGCTTTTCTTTGTATGTTAATATACATTTTCATACGTCATGATAAAGTAGTGACTCCACCTGCTGTTAGAACGTATGCATTTTGGCTTTTGGCACAGGTGCAAGCATGTCATATGATGTAGGAGGGGTTTTCAGTACGTGGTTCAATGTATTTGCAGCACTGTGCTGCACTGACAGCGCAGAAGTACAAAGCACTGTGTTCGGCTGTCACAGAAGAAGCTGTGAGGAAGCCTTCCTTCTCTGCATCTCCTGAAATGTTGAAATCTTTTCGGTCTATTTGAGGATTCGTAAAGGACAGAAAGCCAAGGAGCTCAAGATCTTGCTTGACCTGCCGATACCAGTAGATTTTGTCATAGCTTTTGTCGTTGTGGCTACAGGTGATGTTCAGTGCTTCTATAGGTAGCAGGAATAGATTGGCAGGAGACTGTACAACCGTTAGTGATGTGGAGATCCCTGGAAGAACATTACAGGAGCAATTGCAATCATTAAATAAAACAACATTTAAAAAACAAGCGGTGAAGAACTGAGTGATATTCCACTTTACTCACCTACGAGCCATTGTATAAAGAAATATGTGACTACAGTGCTGAACATGTTTAGTGTCAAGAATATTAAAAAGAAGCAGTTCAGTGTGAGGGCTTTACTGTAGGTGGAAGCTGGATCTGCTTTCTATTTATGTACATCAATGCTGCCCCCTTAAGGAGTTCTTCTGCAAAAGACAGCAAAAGCAAATCTTCTAAATGTCACTAAATGTCACTTGGTTGTCAGTTTATATCTTTTCACCTGTAGCATAATTCGACAAATCTTACTCATTGCCTTACTAATACTTTCATATTGTAGCTGTCCAAAGAAAAACGAGTATTTACAAAATGCTAACTTTACAGGAGAAGGTAAAAACATTCTTAACTCTTAATGTAAGCTAATGTAACATGACTTTATTCCAAGCAAATTTGAAGTATTTCTATTTCGTCTATTCATCATGAAATTTTTAGACAATGTGAACAATGTGAAGCTGCTGTGCTCTGATGATGTAGAAAAAAAGAAAATAGCAAAAAATGAAGTTTATTTATTTATTTTTTTATTTTGGAAAGTGACAATATTCTTCAACATAAACTATGTTGCCATACTCCTAACATGCAAATTTTTGAGTATGAGGTTTTTGTAGAGGTAACCAGGAGTCTTAAGTACTGTGCTTACTCGCAGCGCAATAATACACTGCACTGTCATTTGATGCCAAGTTCTCCATCATCAAAGTGCTGCTTTTTGATCCATCTCCATCAAGTGTAATATTCCTCTTCAAACCAGATTCTATATTTTTATTTTCTCTGTAAAGAAATCCCAATAATTGTAGATCTCTGTGCTCAGACTGTTTGTACCAGAGGATGACATTATAGCCTGTGATGTTGTGAAAACACTCAAGCTTCACAGAATCATCTTTGTTCTTCAACAAGTCAGTAGGCTTCTGAGTGACTGTTGAACATACTGACAAGCCTGTTAAAAAAACAGATCAAATATATAAAAATAGAAAAAATAGACAGTGAATCTGCATTCTAATCTATAATATGCTATTTCCAGACAGTATGGCCACACCCCTTTAATTGTTTTTTCCTCGAAAACTTTCAAAAAGTTTCCTTTTTACTTCCAATTTTTTTAAAGTTGTTTCCATACCTGTCAAGTACAAGAAAGAAACACTGATGGTGACAACAGTACCGATCATATTGAGTCTGGAGTGAGACAGATAAGCTTTCACATTTAGACTGTCAGCACCTGGAAATGACATCATGAGCAGGCTGCTTAACAGACAACTAGGCTACTTATGTGAACATATAGTCTGTGCTGTAGTCACTGAGCACATGGCTGTGGTTTCCTACTTATATCGTTACATGCTTAGCAGATGAGATTAGAGTATTTGTTAAACACTGAGCATGTATGTATCACTGTGCTCTCCTTGCAGCACAAAAATACACCGTAGTGTCCTCAAAGGAAAGATTCATCATGATTAAAGAAGAATATCTCACTGCATCCCCCTCCAGTTTAATTTTGCCTTTGTAATGAGGCTCAATATTTGGTAAGGTAGAATAAACATTTCCCATCAGTTCAAACGTCTGGTTGTGCTGCTTGTACCAGAGAATGCGATCGTAGTCTTTGTGGTTGTGTGAACACATTATTTCAGCAGATTCTGCTCTCTTCTTTGTAATGTGGAGTGGAGATTGATTGACATTCACAGCTGCAGAGAGACCTGTTAAAGAGAGTCATGAAGAGAACATGATGTATATTGACATTAATTCATCTACAGCAATGAAACTGATTAGATAGTTAACAATGCACCTGTAAGCCAAAGTACAGAAAGAATGAGGCTGTAGACACAGACATTGAAAGTCATGGTTAAAGCAAGAAAAACTGCAACACAATGAAGCCCTGCTTAAAGTGTGACACCCTCCAAAAGAGGGGCGGAAACCATCTCATCAGCAATGATGCTGTCCTTAAGTGATCATAAGAGGTTTTCTAACAGGGTTCATATACACAATTGTATGCGAACTCTATATATGAACCCTGATATTTGTGCAGCTCTGGTTAAATTACATATTTTGTTCACCTCATCATGGTTGAATACCTCTCATCAAATTCTATGTTTTGACCGGAGGTGTTTTTATATAGTCGTTGTTGGAACAAAACCTTGTATCTCATATGTATTTGTACGCTCCCAGGCCAAACAAACGGACGAAGCCCATATATAATGTTTTTACTGATAATTTTGGGCTGGTCAGAGTCCAGATTTAAACCCCACAGAAATGTTTGGTCTCATATTTAACACAAACTGGCCTGGCAATGTTTTTCAACTGTTTGAAGCCATCAGTGCTGAGTGGAAAAATGCTGACTCTTCTTTCTGTAACAGGTTGTCTGCAGGTTTGCCCAAAAGACTTCCAAAAAAAATCCCCTAATAAACTATTTAATTTTAATGATTTGTTGTTAGGACTTTAAAAAACTTAATGTTTTGCCATTTTGTGCATGGCCCATTTTTTTGCATGGGATTGTACATTTATATATTGTGTACTACATATGTATTTTTAAATGTTTTATTAAATATTCCAAATATGTTGAGCTATTATATACTGCAAATTATATACTATATGTACATAATACACATTTTATTTACAAATTATATACTGTATGTACTGTATTCTGTATTCTATTTACAGTATTTTTTGCCAAGTTATCTGCCACAAGATTTTTGTCCACCGTTTAAATAATAGGCATTCAGTTTTACATTTTTCTAATATTATTCTCAGCTTTCTCAATCTTTTTTAGTATCATTAACAACTCTTCATTTTTTGGACACATTTAACAGTCTTACATTAATTTTTTGTTTATTATATTAATGTATGCATTTTTAAAGCATCCTAATTTATTAGTAACTATTTGAAAGCTAAGGAAAATTCATTTTATACATATACCTACAATTTGGTTTTGTGTTATTGAAAGCATTAATTCCAAACTTAATTCCAAACTTCAAACTTGTGAAGTTGTTGAAGTAAAACAAAGCATATATGAAAATGAATATATAAGAATAGTATATCAAAAATGGAGTACAATTTAACTGATGGATTTATTTAAACACACACACACACACACACACACAATTGTACATGTGATACTCTATGCTATGCTTATTCTTATGCAGTACTGCAATAAGACTCATTTCTTTTATTAATGTACAACTTAGAGGCCGAGTACCACCATAATTTAAAAACAGCTATTGAAGCTACCATGTAGGGAACCCACCTTTACCCTGCAATGTTTGTATAACTACTCAAACATTTATGGAGCCCTCACTATCTTTACTTCACAGGTGTGCAATTTCAGTGATAATGACTTGGGGTTTTGTTATAAGGAGATACACGTTGTGCATCACAGTGTATATGCAGCTGCACAGAAATACACAGCACTGTCTTCAGCTTTTTTAGCTTGGAGAAGTTGAAGAGTTGCATTTTTTTCCCCATCCCCAGTCACGTTAAATCGTTCTTTATATGGTTCCTCCATGTAGGCATTCTTGTAGTATACATAACCAATGAGTTTCATTGCAGTGTCACTGTCTGAAGCCTGGTACCACAATAATGTGTCGTAGTTTTTCAGGGAATGATTGCAGTGCAGCTCAACCACACTATCAGGATCACAGAAGAGTGCAGATGGAAACTGAAGAACCTCTTTACAGAAGGCTGGAGCTTTAAATGAAAAGCAATGGAAACATTTAAATAACAGAACAGAGTAGCAGAAGTTAATTCTCCTTTGAAATGACCCATAACTTTCTTTTGAAATGTCGATTGGCTTTTTAAAGTATTGTAAAGTAATTGTAAAGTAATTTAAAGCACTGTACCCATCATCAGGAGCAGCGCTAGAGCATAAGTGAGGATGATCATCATGATGGCATTTAGCACCGTGAACTGATCTGAATTGATATCTGCTTGTGTAGGAAGGAAATGATGTCATATTTTTGCAGTCTTACACTCTCAGAAATAAAGGTATGAAAGTGTCACTGGGGCAGTACCCCTCTTGTCACTTTAGTCAGGGTGCATAACTGTACCATAATCCACCGACTGGTCTCCAGGCTTTTTATTTTATTGTTCTGTTTTAAAACATTAGGTTATGAAAGGTGACAAATACATACATACTTTTCACCTGGGAAAAACTTATATCAGGTACACAATTGGACCTTAAACCACTGTTTACATTTGAGGGAACATTTACATTATTTGCACCTTGATGAACAAAAAATGTACCTGCACATTACCTTTATTTCTAACAGTGTTGGATAGGGTCAGCCTTCAGTGTGGGGTGACTTCTGGTGTGGTTAAGCAGGTGTACCAGGCTATGCAGGTGAATAAGCTGATTAGAGGTGGGTTTTTGTTCTTAGGAGAGGAGATGTACATCACTGTGCATTCTATAAGCTGCACAGAAATACATGCCACTGTCCTCGACTTGTCTTGCTTGTAGAATGTGTAGAGAAACTGATGATTGTCCCTTCCCAGTCACGTTAAAATGACCTCTATTTTCTGGCTCAATTTGTTTAATACTATCATAGCTTGCATAACCAATGAGTTTCAGGCTGGTGTTTCCATGCACTCGCTGATACCACAATATTGTATCATAGTTAGAGATGCTGTGGTTGCATGTGAGCTTTACAGTCGTCTTGGGCAAACACAACACATCAGCAGGACTCTGATCAACTTTTTTGCAAATTGTACAATCTAAGATAAAAAAAAAGTGTTAGGTATGTACAGTTGAGTAAATGTTCATATACCAAATCACATAAGCGCAAAAATATTACCTGAGAAACAGCACATGCAGATGAATAATTTAAAAGGAAATCTGATCATTCTGATTGATTTAAACTGGTGAAAGAAAACAGTGAGCTAGAGTTGAGCCAAACTGGTAGAATTTAACACAAGAGCTCATTTCATATTGTTAGCAGTAGGAGAGGATGTGACATCATACACTACAAAGCACTATGATCCCACCCTTTAATGTGAAATTTGAGATGGTTATTTCAAACATTAAATGAGAGAGCGTTAAAGGACTTTAATTCTACATTTTCTTGTATTGTATTTTTCCTTTGAGGATCACTTATGACAGGGGTGCATAGCTCCAGTCCTGGAGGGCTGGTGTCATGCACAGTTTGGTAGTTGCTGTACTCAAACACACCCAGTAAACCTGCCAATTAACTGAGGAATTGAATCAGATGTGTTTGAGCAGCAAGATTGCCAAACTGTACTGGACATTGGCCTCCAGAATTGGTGTTGTGCACCCCTGACGTACAACATTTGTGTGGTTTTGTGTACCAAAAATTGTCATAGTTCATGTTTGACCTTTTTCCAACTTCTCTTTGTCCCTTAGAACTAAACTGACTGTTTTTGTTACTATGCCTTTAAGACTGATCTATGTAAATAAATTCTGATTGGCTGCCTTAGATGTAAATGAATTCATTCTTGTGACATCACAGAAAAAATGAATTCAAAGCAGGCTGTTTCTGCACCATAGTTTCCATATTTGGACTGGGTGGACTGGGCAGTGAATGGTATATTTTGAAACTTTGACAATGTTCTTATTGTAATATTGTATTGCATGTTGTTAAGATATAGCAAAGTAATGGCATCCTGAGCAAAGAATGAAGTCATAGCCTCTCTGTGTTGTAATCCAAGCTTCTCTGTTTTTTGTTTTGGCTTACTGGTAAGTTTGGATGGTAAATAAAATGGCTATATTTGCATTGAAGACATTGTGACCCGTGTTTTCTATCACCACCTCTTTAAAGAAATCTACATTGTTAAGTTTCTCTACAATCAAGCATTTTACATCAAACCACTCTGAATGACTGTGTTTACATCTCAACTGTTAGGTTAAGCAGAAATAAAAAAAAAAAAATAAAAGTATTGTTATGGTCATTATTCAGATGTTTAAGCTTTTGTAGAAACTGTGTTTATCACTGAAGACCCTTCAGAGGTCGCTTAACAAAAAACAGCATGGAGTTTCTTAAAAGTATGGGGGAAAAAACAATTCTCTTACAAACTTAGATGTAGTGTGATACATTTTGTTGAGAACCAAAGAGCCAAGAGAAATACCAACCTGTATTCTTCTCCTGTTTAACATAATGGAATAACAGCACCATCTAGAGCAGACCAGATAATTGGCATCTGATCATCAGCAAGCTGAGTGCCTGGAGTATTTGTTCAGTGCTGTAGTGAGTTTTCACCACAGTGCTTACTGACAGCACAGAAATACAGAGCACTGTCCCCTGAATCCAGGTTCTTCACTGTGAAAGATCCACTCTCAGCTACAGTTTTCACAGCCTCATATTTGTTTTTGCTGAAGTTTCCATAGTCCGGTTCACCACCAACAAACGTGAATGCAATGCGTGTCATTCCCTCTCCTGGAAACTGCCTGAACCAGTACATTTGTCTGTGGCTGATGTCTTTATTATGACTGCAGTTCATTTCTACAGAGCTCCCTGGAGAACCCCAAATAATATTAGGTTCCTGGAAAACACCACTTTTATCCCCTTGGCCTGTTTAGAGGGGATGAAGAAAGGTTTAATCCAAATAATTAAACTGAAATAATTAATAAAATATTGAACAATGCATGTGTTGTTGGGAAACAGCACCTGTAAAAAGATAAACTGCTAAAATTAGAAGAATTATGAGCATGTTGGACTCCTGGTGATGAAATGAATCAGACACAGTGGCCTCAGCTGAGCTCCTCTGGCAGTGGGAGGAGTGTCGAAACTAGATGAGAAAAATGTCACAAATGTTGACTGGAACCAGCTTTTACTGACATTTATGGGCAGTTTTCTGCATGTAATCTGAGATCTGATCTTCGGTCTGTATTGATTTCCTTTAGGGCTTCTTATGAGGAAATTTTGACATTATAACTACTCTTGTAGAATATAAGTATATGATTTTTTTTTCGGTGAATCATCAAGTTTCTGTATATTTAAATAAACCACCAATAAACAAATCTCATAAATATCAGTCCTAGGCCTGTTGGTCTTCTTATAGTTTGTTTCTGTGTGGACATTGAGCTTCAGCAGATTTCAAGCACTTTGGTGGTATTTGTATAAATCACATGGTGTTTGAGAAACTTTGACACTGAATGAATATCCTGAAGAACTGGAGTTTCTTGATTAAAAAAAACGAATTTTTAAAATCATTCAGTAGTACATATGTTCTGGTGATTATTAGTATAAATTATGCTTTAAACAGTAGTTTGATGTGTGTAGACATACAACACAGTATCAGTGTGAATACGCATTGAGAAAAAAAAAAAAACTGCATTAAATCTTGATAGTAAGGACACTAACATTAAGATCTCCAAGATGCCAGGTGTGCATTAACAAGAAGCAGCCAATTGAAGCCCTGACAATATGGTGCTTTTGTTATTTATGGTCAGTTAATGAGTTAATGCTGCTAAGGGATAGTTTTGTGAACATGTTGGATTCTCTGTGATAAAGTCTCTATACACACACTCTCTCAGAGGCTGTATTTTTCACTGAATGCACCTAACATAGCTTATAGCTTTTATATAAAAATAACCCCTCTCTGTCTTATCTATATGTAGCAAGGGTATTATCCATTTTGCTGACGCCTTTAAAACCTGAGAGGCAAGAGAAACATCAGTGCATCAATGCTCAACTCATTTCATAAAATGGACGAAAAAACAGCACCATCTAGAGATGAACCTGGCCACACACCAACAGCAAGCTGAGTGCCTGGAGTATTTGTTCAGTGCTGTAGTGAGTTTTCACCACAGTGCTTACTGACAGCACAGAAATACAGAGCACTGTCCCCTGAATCCAGTTTCTTCACTGTGAAAGATCCATTCTTAACTACAGTTTTAACAGCCTCATATTTGTTTTTGCTGAAGTTTCCATAGTCCGGTTCACCACCAACAACGGTATATGCAATGCGTGTCATTCCCTCTCCTGGAAACTGCCTGAACCAGTACATTTGGCTGTGGTCAGCAGGCTTATTGTGACTGCAGTTCATTTCTACAGAGCTCCCTGGAGAACCCCAAATAATATTGGGTTCCTGGAAAACACCACTTTCATCCCCTTGACCTGTTTAGCAGGGACAAATATTAACATAAGCACAGATTATAATAAATAAATAAATAAATAATGTGCAATATTCAAATAATGAAACGTGTGTATTGTGAAACAGCACCTGTAAAAAGACAAACTGCTAAAATCAGAAGAGCTGTGAACATGTTAGATTCTCTGTGATGAAGAGAGCAGTGAATCAGGTTCTCTGACCTGAACTGAGCTCCTCTGACGGTAGGAGGAGCTTTAAACCCAGACGGAAAAGAGAGTATGTGAAGGACACTTCCATCTAATCCTCTCTTTCCTACTCAAGTTGTTGAAAGCAGCTTATCCAAACTGCCATTTATAAGATCATTTTACAAATATTTAACTAAACTCAGACTGTATTAATCTGATTAATTTACAGGTTATTCTGACAACTAATAAGTTAATAAAAAAAGACTAAAAACAAGACTTAACTGAACACAGTAACATACTATGCAGGACCTTTTTTAAAGATTCCAAAAAAACTGTAAGGAAGCCTTAAAAATGCTTCATATAAAAATCTGTCCTTATATATATATCATTTAATCCTATGTATCTCTATATAGGACAGAGAGGAGCACAATCTAATGCATTTTTGGTTTTGCTCAATAGTTTTAAAAGTACTTGATCCTGATTCATATTTTTTATCAAGAAACTTACACATGTCTACTATGAATGATATCACAAACTTTTATGTACTTTCTATGAAAAATTAGTCCAAAAGCAGATTGCGTGTAAATGGTACAAATAATCCTATAGGTAGGTTTAATTGTAACAAACCAAGAAACATTCACTGAAAAGTCTGATAATTTACTGCATGTCTCAAATAATACAGGTGTGAATGCTGTGACTAACTCACACAATTCAGTAATCATAAAACACTTAAGATGAAAACAGTTTTCAAGGTAAATTTGGAGAAATATCTGTCTGTCGAAATTCAATGATGATATTCTTGTGGGAATACAAGAAAGCAGATACTGCTTGAACCTTTTTAACTACATAAAGTATCCTTGTTACTTTGTGTTAGTTTGTGCTCTGTTTTCCCTACACTTTTACTTCATATATACACAATTTACAAATAATGGAAAACATTTAACATTACATGTTACTTCATATACATTAAATCTGCAAATGCAAACATACACTATATGGACAAAAGTACTGGGACACCCCTTCTAGTTATTATTCAGGTGTTTCAGCCACACTCATTGCTAATGGATAAAATTAAGCACATAGCCTCCTGAATGGATCATACTCATGAGCTCAATGACTTTAAACATGGCACTGTCATAGGATGCCACCTCTGCCACAAGTCAGTTTGTGAAATTTCTGTCCTGCTAGATCTGCTCCTGTCAACTGTAAGTGCTATTATTGTGAAATGGAAGCATCTAGGAGCAACAACAGCCTAGCCACAGAACGATAGACCACACAAACTCACAGAGTGGGACCGCCGAGTGCTGAAGCACATAGAACCTCTGTTCAATCACTCACTAACAAGTTCCAAATTGCCTCTGGAATCATCCTCAGCAAAATAACTGTGCGTTAGGAGCTTCACGAAAATGGCCGAGCAGCTGCACACAAGACGCGACAAATCGCCTGTGGCATGCGCCCGCCCCCTGGGCCCTGACGATGACGGCCGCGAGAGCCGGCAGGAAGGCGGGGCCCGAACACCCAGCGGCGACGAACCTCGGCCGCGACGGCAGGGAGAGAGCCGCGAGTGGTGAGGGGGCGGAGCGCAAAGCCCGAGCTCCTCCGAATAACCCGAGTGACGCGAGTGACGGCGGGAGGAGGAGGAAGACGACGACGGTGCCGGCAACGAGAGGCACCAGGGCAAGGAGCGAGTACCGAGCTCCGCCGCCTGGGCCCCGCCCCCTGTTACGCAGCGAGGCCGCTCCATTACACCTCACGTTCGACCCGGGCGGCTGAGCTGCCAGCTGGGGTCGGTGACAAGGAGGTGGAGCAGCGAGCTCTAGTTCCCTCTCGGCTTATGTGCTCATAGCTGATGCTGATCTGGCTGGCAGCGTGAGAGCCTTTTAAAAGAGCTGAGAGGGAACAGAGAGAGTAGAGAGAGACGAGCAGCAGCAGCAGCAAGAGACTGAGGAGCTGAAAAGCTTATTTGGAAGAAGGATTGAGTAAAAAGACTGACTGAAGCCACTGAAAAGTGGCCAGCGTACCTTTGGTTAAGTTTGTTTGTTTTGTGTGGTTAAATAAATATGGCTGCTGCAACCCTAAACCCTGCCTCCAGCGTCCTCCTTGAGCCCGGGGTAGCACATGCTGTGCTACATAGCCCTTCTCTTTCTGGCAGTCTGAAGGAAGAGTCTGGGTTGGGTGAGTGCCAGGAGAACGTTACCTGCCTGACTACATTGTGCCAACTGTAAAGTTTGGTGGAAGAGGGATAATGCCATGGGGTTTTTTTTTCAGGGGTTGACCCTTAATTGCAGTAAAGGGAAATCTTGATGGTAGATAGATAGACAGATAGATAAACAGATGGATGAATGAATGAATGAATGAATGAATGAATGGATAAATGAAGTAGTTGTTTCTAAGGTTGTAAATGAAACTCCTAACTGTGAAGAACACTGGCAGTGAGTCAAAAGCAGGCCACAGAAGCAGGTGTTAATAAGAACTTAAAACTTGGGGTTTGTTTTTCAGGGACATTTTTGCACTGAAAAGAGCAGCTCTGCAGCACTGTGTAATATGCAGCACAGAAATACACTGCACTGTCTGTGAGTGAAAGATTTCCGATGGTCAAAGAGACATCCCTGTTTCCATCTCCAGTCATGTTCACTTTAGACTCAAACTCTTTTTCCTTGTTGGGTGTTAAACTTCCATAGACATATCCAATAAAAATCAACTCTTGTTTGAGGGTTTGTTTGTACCAGTTGATTTGATTGTAACTTGTTACATTGTGCCAACACTTGATTGTAGCAGATCCTTTTTGGTTTGCAATCAGATTCGAGGGAGTCTGGATGACATGAGTACTGTGAGAAAATCCTGAAATGAGAGAAAATTCTGATCAAATTGTGAAAAGTGAAAGAAAAGCAAAACAAAAATGTTACAATGGTGAAGTTAACTCAGTATAATTTAAAAGTGTACCAGTGAGACACAGCACTGCAATCCAAATAACACTGCCCGCACTGATCATGTTGACTTTCTGGAGGAGCTCCTTCTTCGGACTGAGTTTACACTCTACTGCTAGTTGATGTAAAACATGTAAAACTGGGTTTCCTCTCAAGTTTGAATGTGTATAGCACCCCCATGTGAGGAAAGTCTGAACTGCATTCCTGTTGAAAAGCCTTGTAAATATTAAACCAATTTGTTTGTAGTTTGTGTCTTTACATCATCAGAAAACAACAGCCTAGCCACAGAACGATAGACCACACAAACTCACAGAGTGGGACCGCTGAGTGCTGAAGCACATAGAACCTCTGTTCAATCACTCACTAACAAGTTCCAAATTGCCTCTGGAATCATCCTCAGCAAAATAACTGTGCGTTAGGAGCTTCACGAAAATGGCCGAGCAGCTGCACACAAGACGCGACAAATCGCCTGTGGCATGCGCCCGCCCCCTGGGCCCTGACGATGACGGCCGCGAGAGCCGGCAGGAAGGCGGTGCCCGAACACCCAGCGGCGACGAACCTCGGCCGCGACGGCAGGGAGAGAGCCGCGAGTGGTGAGGGGGCGGAGCGCAAAGCCCGAGCTCCTCCGAATAACCCGAGTGACGCGAGTGACGGCGGGAGGAGGAGGAAGACGACGACGGTGCCGGCAACGAGAGGCACCAGGGCAAGGAGCGAGTACCGAGCTCCGCCGCCTGGGCCCCGCCCCCTGTTACGCAGCGAGGCCGCTCCATTACACCTCACGTTCGACCCGGGCGGCTGAGCTGCCAGCTGGGGTCGGTGACAAGGAGGTGGAGCAGCGAGCTCTAGTTCCCTCTCGGCTTATGTGCTCATAGCTGATGCTGATCTGGCTGGCAGCGTGAGAGCCTTTTAAAAGAGCTGAGAGGGAACAGAGAGAGTAGAGAGAGACGAGCAGCAGCAGCAGCAAGAGACTGAGGAGCTGAAAAGCTTATTTGGAAGAAGGATTGAGTAAAAAGACTGACTGAAGCCACTGAAAAGTGGCCAGCTTACCTTTGGTTAAGTTTGTTTGTTTTGTGTGGTTAAATAAATATGGCTGCTGCAACCCTAAACCCTGCCTCCAGCGTCCTCCTTGAGCCCGGGGTAGCACATGCTGTGCTACATAGCCCTTCTCTTTCTGGCAGTCTGAAGGAAGAGTCTGGGTTGGGTGAGTGCCAGGAGAACGTTACCTGCCTGACTACATTGTGCCAACTGTAAAGTTTGGTGGAAGAGGGATAATGCCATGGGGTTTTTTTTTCAGGGGTTGACCCTTAATTGCAGTAAAGGGAAATCTTGATGGTAGATAGATAGACAGATAGATAAACAGATGGATGAATGAATGAATGAATGAATGAATGAATGGATAAATGAAGTAGTTGTTTCTAAGGTTGTAAATGAAACTCCTAACTGTGAAGAACACTGGCAGTGAGTCAAAAGCAGGCCACAGAAGCAGGTGTTAATAAGAACTTAAAACTTGGGGTTTGTTTTTCAGGGACATTTTTGCACTGAAAAGAGCAGCTCTGCAGCACTGTGTAATATGCAGCACAGAAATACACTGCACTGTCTGTGAGTGAAAGATTTCCGATGGTCAAAGAGACATCCCTGTTTCCATCTCCAGTCATGTTCACTTTAGACTCAAACTCTTTTTCCTTGTTGGGTGTTAAACTTCCATAGACATATCCAATAAAAATCAACTCTTGTTTGAGGGTTTGTTTGTACCAGTTGATCTGATTGTAAGTCGTTACATTGTGCCAACACTTGATTGTAGCAGATCCTTTTTGGTTTGCAATCAGATTCGAGGGAGTCTGGATGACATGAGTACTGTGAGAAAATCCTGAAATGAGAGAAAATTCTGATCAAATTGTGAAAAGTGAAAGAAAAGCAAAACAAAATGTTACAATGGTGAAATTAACTCAGTATAATTTAAAAGTGTACCAGTGAGACACAGCACTGCAATCCAAATAACACTGCCCGCACTGATCATGTTGACTTTCTGGAGGAGCTCCTTCTTCGGACTGAGTTTACACTCTACTGCTAGTTGATGTAAAACATGTAAAACTGGGTTTCCTCTCAAGTTTGAATGTGTATAGCACCCCCATGTGAGGAAAGTCTGAACTGCATTCCTGTTGAAAAGCCTTGTAAATATTAAACCAATTTGTTTGTAGTTTGTGTCTTTACATCATCAGAAAATTCATTACTAACATTTTTTTTATGTTTGGAACAGAGTTAAAGAATGCAAGCTTAAGTACAACCCCATTTCCAAAAAAGTTGGGATGCTGTGCAAAATGTAAATAAAAACAAAAATGCAATGATCATGCAAATCATTCGAACCCTATATTTAATAGAAAATACTACAAAGACAACATATCAAATGTTGAAACTGATAAATTTTATTGTTTTTTGAAAAATATATGCCCATTTTGAATTTGATGCCAAGAACATATTTCAAAAAAGTTGGGATGGGGGCATGTTAACCACTGCGTTTCATCACCTCTTCCTTTAACATCTCTCTGTAAGCATTTGGGAACTGAGGAGACCAATTACTGTATTTTTGAAAATGAAGTGTTTTCCTGTTCTTGCTTGATATAGAATTTTAGCTGCTCAACAGGTCAGAGTCTCCTTTGTTGTATTTTTCATTTCATAATGAGCCAAATGTTTTCAGTGGTGACAGGTCTGGACTGCAGGCAGGTCAGTTTAAGATAAGATAAAATAATCCTTTATTAATCCCACAACGGGGAAATTTGCGCACCCAGACTCTTTGAATACAGAGCAATGCTGTTGTAATACTTGCAGAATGTGGTTTGACACTGTCTTGCTAAAATAAGCAAGGCCTTCCCTGAAAAAGATGTTGTCTGGATGGCAGCATATGTTGCCAAAACATGTATATATCGCTCAGCATTAATGGTGCCTTCACAGATGTGCACATCACCCATGCCATGTGCACTAATGGCCCCCTGTACCATCATGAATTTTGGCTTTTGAACTGTGCACTGATAACAAGCTGAGTTGTCGTTAGCCCGGAGGACACAGCATCCAAGATTTCCCAAAATAATTTCAAATGTTGATTCGTCGGAACACTTTTCCACTTCACCTCAGTCTATTTTAAATGAGCTCAGGCCCAGAGTAGGTGGCAGCATTCCTGGATCCTGTTTATATGTGGTTTCTTCTTTGTGTTTAAGAGTGTTAACTAGCATTTGTGGATGCAGCAACAAACTGTTTTCACAGACAGTGGTTTTCAGAAGTGTTTCTGAGCCCATGCAGTGATTTCCTCTACAGAATCATGTCTGTTTTTAATGCAAAGCCATGCAGTCTTTCATAGATTTTTGCCCTTCAGTTTTGACCTGTGCTTTTTCCTTCACTATTTTCTGGATATCTCTTAGGTTTTGTTATTTCATTTCTCTGACTTTGACCATAGCATGTTTTTGGATTACAACTTTGAAGCACAGTAAAGTATCGCTTAAACATAATGACAGTACTTATATTCATATTTGGTTATAAGCTGTGTCAGCGTGTGTTCCTAAAGAGAGAGAGAGAGAGAGAGAGAGAGAGAGAGATAGAGAGATAGATAGACAGATAGATAGACTGATGAATGAATAAATAAAATAGTTGTTTCTAAGGTTGTAAACGAAACTCCTAACTGTGAATATCACTGGCAGTAAGTCAAAAACAGGCCGCAGAAGCAGGTGTTAATAAGAACTTGGGGTTTGTTCTGACATTTTTTCAGAGACGTTTTTGCACTGAAAAGAGCAGCTCTGCAGCACTGTGTAATATGCAGCACAGAAATACACTGCACTGTCTGTGAGTGAAAGATTTCCGATGGTCAAAGAGACATCCCTGTTTCCATCTCCAGTCATGTTCACTTTATCCTCAAAATCTGTTTCCTTTTTGGGTGCTGACTTTCCTATGAGATATCCAATAAAAATCAACTCTTGTCTGTTGGTTTGTTTGTACCAGTTGATTTGATTGTAACTTGTTACATTGTGCCAACACTTGATTGTAGCAGATCCTTTTTGGTTTGCAATCAGATTCGAGGGAGTCTGGATGACATGAGTACTGTGAGAAAATCCTGAAATGAGAGAAAATTCTGATCAAATTGTGAAAAGTGAAAGAAAAGCAAAACAAAATGTTACAATGGTGAAATTAACTCAGTATAATTTAAAAGTGTACCAGTGAGACACAGCACTGCAATCCAAATAATGCTGCCCACTCTGGTCATGTTGATTATCTTGAGGAGCTCCTTCCTCAGACTGAGTTTACACTCTACTGCTGGTTGATGTAAAACATGTAAAACTGGGTTTCCTCTCAAGTTTGAATGTGTATAGCACCCCCATGTGAGGAAAGTCTGAACTGCATTCCTGTTGAAAAGCCTTGTAAATATTACACCAGTTGGTTTGTAGTTTATATGTGTATGCATCATCTGAATATTCAGGATTAACAGTTTTTTATGTTTGGGACAGAATTAAAGAATGCATGCTCTTTTATGTTGATGATGTTTGTTGCACATTTAGATAAAATAACTGTAGGTTTGTGTGTTTTTAATACACATAATTAAACACATTTTTGATATTATACATACACATACATGCACTAGAGCAACTTCATAGTTCATTATGTAAAGAGAAAAATGAAAAGCCATAGTCTCATGAAGTTTGCAGAACACTTTATTTCAGGTGGACATCATCAACCGAATAGCTGGTAATTAACTGTCTGTCCTTTATTTCTTAATTAAGCAATAATGAAGATAAATGAAGCACTCTTAAAAGCACTTTATACATCACATCAAGTTAAGAACTACATCTCATCGCTCTACTTTACTTCTTTAACCAACTATACAAACAAAAATCAGTAATTATTTATAACCAACTGTTAAAAAATTAAGAACAGCTAGTACTGTTTCAAAAAGAAAGAAAATGAATGTAATAATACTACAATGTAAAGCTTACAGAGTTGTTCCTGAATAAAAATCAAGTCTGGCCTTTTTAGGTAAGTTTGCGCTCTTTCTTCTTCATCAAAAAGATCTTTATCCATCAGATTCATAATAGTGTGACTAGATGCTTGGACTGGGTTGGGTTTCTTAAAAGCATTTAAGAACAAAGGTGATTCTTAAATTTTAAAGCAAGCATCTTGCTGAACACTTTTTCTCCTGGTGCGGTGATCTTAACATTAGGATTCTTTTAGGAATCGAGACCCAGATTGTTCACTGGGTTTACAGAGCTTCCTGCACTCGCGCTGCACTGCTCACCTTCACAGTCAGAGTCATGCAGGTAGCCAGGTAGGACACGTGTCTAAGCACAATCACTGAAGCTATAGTATTCGCAAAACCTGAAAAAAAGCCTTCTATGGCTATACTGTTGACATTCCATCAGCATAATGTGTATGAGCAGTCAGTGCTGGCCATGGCTTCCAGATCAAGTTATCAAGTTTAGATCGGAGGTGCTAATCCATACCACATCACATATTACTTGTAAATACTGCATCAGCCTACATATTGCATGAGATTAAAACCATACAATCACAGTTATTTTGTCTGTGGAAAGGTCAGCGATATTCTGTCTTTCCTACCATTGAGTATGCCATGAAACACTGTCATGATTGCAAAAACAAGTAAAAATGTTGACCTTAGCTTAAGCTTACTTAAGCCCTGCTAACATTCCGTTGTTACTTAATAAAGCACCAGAGATCTTGATCATAAATAGTTAAATTGCAAAAGTCAATTATCAGTCAGTGTCAGTTGTTAATAGTGAATAATTCTTAACACTTGGCCTCTTTCTCCTTATGACAGCTGGGACAGTATAAAAGCTTACAATATTGATTTTTTTTTTGTTGTTGTTGTTGCTGTTTTCACTACAACCATGAACCACACCGCTCACCATGACTATATTTTATCTGTCAGGATGCTTTATTAACTAACAGCGTACAAACAGGGGCTCTACAAGCACCACTGTGGCCACTGTAATCGCCGTGTTGACCAGCATGTCTACAATATGACGGCGGGGACAAGTGTGACATCAATCGAATACAATCATTTGATAGAGGTAATTTTAATTAAATTATTTTCTTCTCTTAAAAATGTGTGTAACCAAATAATACAGTTTTTATTAAGCCATAGCAACTCTGTGATTACAATGATTTAAACTGTAATGCGTTACATTACTGTAATGCGTTACATTGCGTTATGTTACCCCAACGCTGCACAATGCTTATTGATATGAACACGCCCAATTACTTTTGCTATAATCTAATGAGACAAGTTAGACAATGAATAACTGTTAATAAGCACAGTTCATATAGACCCTTTGCTCATATTAAGGCTAAGCACCAGAAATTTAAACCTACTAAGCTATAGATGTTAATACAATATATTTCTCTTCTGCCAAAGATATTCTTTATTTTAGGTAAACATTTTCATGCCTTAGAGCCCTTAGTAAGGCTTCTCAAGCCACAGCTATTTCAATAAACAATACCTGGTGAGTTAAGCATTAGAGTACTTTTATCTGTTTATTTAACATCACGATCTTGAACACAATCTTTGTCAAAGAAATTGCTCTATACAGAGTGCAGTTTGGAATATGGTTATTGGAAACATCAGCCACTGCATCAATAAATCACCAAGTGATATTTATTGATTTATCAGTAAACCACCAGTTAGCTCTAAATAACGCCAAACTGACCTCCTGCAGCATAGATTACAGTTAAAACACAGGATAATTTAGAATATTCAAATGAGTATTAGATGCCCTAAGTCAGGTCTATTATGAGCCTATCTGCATGAGGTCTATTAGACGGCCTAGATTTGGCCCGCATTCCAAATGAGAAATTGAGAATATGAACTCTATTCATTAGTTAGGGGAGGAGTCCCCCTGTCTGTTCTGATAGTTATTACAGTAACATCAGTGCAGGTGTTTTTGTTCAGCAATGTAATAGGACCGTAACACTGTGCTCACTCACTGCACAGAAATACAGAGCGCTGTCATCTGACTCCACATTCATCACTGTGAAAGATCCATTTTTAGGTTGTTTTTTAGTGGCAGAGAATTTATCATGACTGATGTTTCCAAACTCTGGTTTATTGGCGGTCGTGATAAAAACTATGAACTCCATGGGCTTCCCTTGTTTCTGTTGGAACCAGTACATCTGATTATAAGAGCCTCCTTTATCATGGTTGCAGTTCATTTCAGCAGAATTTCCCTTCTCAATCCAGAGTACTCTGGGGCTTTGAGTGACACCACTGTCTCCTGCAAGTACTAATGGACAACAAATAACCAAAAATGATTAATTTAGTTTTTCATTTACTAATAAAAACAAGTACAATACTCCATCATATTTAGCATAATATCATACCTGGAGTCCACTGAAGTGAGAAAGTCAGGGTGATGATAACGCTGATCATCCTGAGTAGTGACAATGGCAGATGCTGGTGATGCATCCTGTTAGAGATCAACCTGAGGAAATGACATCGTTAGCATTTCAACTCCTCCATTCACATGCTGGATTCTGAGTAAACACCAGTTACCAATAAATTTAGACTTGTGCTTAAGAGTAAACTGGCAGTGAAACAAAAGCAGGCCACAGCGTGTGGAAGCAGAAACAAGACTGTTTAATCAGCAGTGATTGGTTCTCAGCTGACTTCTGACCAGCTGATGTTTATCTCTACGCGACACAGTGCCTTTGTATTCAGATGTACAGGTCTGCAGCACACATACACATGCAGGAGAGAGGGGGTGTTTGAGTACCTGCCCCTTTGCCCCTTGATGTCCATAGTGCTCTTTTCTCTCTTTTTTTTTTTGCACAGACTTGGGTGAGAGCTCTAGTAAAAGAAGCTGTTTCATTTTTATTTGCATGTCACATGCTGTGTCAACTTGGGTTTGTACATGCATCTGTGATATCCTACTGCCAATAAGATGCACAAAAGATTTAATGGTTCAGGGTCCATTATAATGACTTTGTTTTTTAAATGAATAATAAACTTTAATCGAGTAATCATCACATTAAAAGTAAAGCAGTTTTTTCCCTATATATATATATATATATATATATATGTTGGAACAATCTCCAAAATGGTAACATTACATGAGAAGGAAAAAAACCTAGTAGTAATTGTGGGCCATTTGTTTTGGTCAATTCATTGTGAAATTTACATACAATGTAAAGGGCATATATATGTCACTGCTTTCAAAACAAAACCCTGTATCTCCATTTTTGCCGCTTTACAGTTTTTGACATAATTTGAAAATTTCTGTTACCCTTTGATTGGACCAAAAGAAATGGCCCAAAATGACTTAAAAACGTCGGTTGCATTGACTTACATTAAAAGTAATGTATGTTTTTTCCTTTTCCTGTAAAGTTTTGCTCTGACAGCAGCAAGATATATATAAGAAAGAAATTGCTTAAGTTACTCTTAATGAGAATACTTGAATACTGAAAGTTACTTCCAGGTTTGCAATTCTTGACTGTGAACACTGGCAGTGAGTCAAAAGCAGGCCACAGAAGCAGGTGTTAATAAGGATTTAAAACTTGGGGTTTGTATTGGTAATTTCTCAAGAACATTTTTGCACTGCAACAGAGCAGCTCTGCAGCACTGTGTAACTTGCAGCACAGAAATACACTGCACTGTCTGTGAGTGACAGATTTTTAATCGTCAAAGAAACTTTGCTGTTTCCATCTCCAGTCATGTTCACTTTAGACTTAAACTCTTTTTCCTTGTTGGGTGCTGTCGTTTCTACAAGATATCCAATTAAAGTTAACTCTTGTTCGTGGGTTTGTTTGTACCAGGTAATTTGATTGTAATTTGTTATATTGTGCCAACACTCGACTGTAGCAGATCCGTTTTGATTCATAATCAGATTAGAGGGAGTCTGGATGACATGAGTACTGTGAGAAAATCCTGAAATGAGAGATGATATTCTGATTAAAATGATACAAAAACAAAATAAAGTGTTCAAAGATGAAATAAACTTGAGATAAATTAAAACTGTACCAGCGAGACATAGCACTGCAATCCAAATAACGCTGCCCGCTCTGGTCATGCTGATTCTCTCGAGGAGCTTGTTCTTCAGACTGAGTTTACACTGTACTGCCTTATGATGCAAACATGTAAAACTGGGTTTCCTCTCAGGTTTGTAGGTGCATAGTTCCCCCATATGAGCAATGTCTGAACTGCACGCCTGAGATATTATACTAGTTGGTTTGTAGTTTCTATGTGTCTACACACTATATTAGCCGTTCTTAATGTTTGGGACAAAGATAAAGAACATATTATGAGTTCATTCCAGTGCACTTCTTGTCAAATTCAATTCATATCTCCTCACAGTCTGCTAACTCTGTTTTCTCCGCTGGAAAAAAATCTAGTGATCGTACATAGCTCTGGCTTTGTAAACAGACAATAACCAAACAGCCAATTTGAACATGAAGCTGGAGAAAAAGAAGCTAAGGGATTAGGAGGTTGCTCTGTTTCTGCTTTACAGGTGGGTAACATTAACTGACTTTTTCCAGTTTCACAGAACCAATAATATTGTATTGTCAGTATTATTTTGTCACATTTGCCAATGTTTGTGATAGCAACAGGTTAGCTTCTCAGCAGCAATACTAGCAACAGTTTGCTAACCCACAACAAAGCTATTGTTGGTTAATTCTCATTTTAAAAAATTGATCACTACTTTTTAAGCAGGAATGCTGGACAATCATTTTGTCATACATTCATTCTAAAAATAATTTTATTATAACCTCAGTGTCACAACCCTATGGGTCATAATGCAAGATTTTAGTTTTTTTCTCTGTCGTGATGTGTGTGTGTGTGGTAATTTGCAGAACAATGGGAGGGGATTGGAGCAGGATTGGTCACCAAAACAGTTTAAAAAACGCCACAGACACGATGAGGCCCAGACACACGACTGTATGAATCACTGTAAATCAAATCATACGTCACAGGGAAGCGAGTCTAGAATAGCTAAATGAACCCATACTGCAGTTGTGCCAAATTAGAAATGCCACAACACACAGCTTTCAGTGGTACAAATTCACCTCGTACACTTCCTATGTTCAACTATAATTACTTATTGCCATTCATATATAGAAAAAAATCAGATGACACTGCATAATCAACCAGGATCTGTGAGTGTGTCTATCTCACATATTTTTATGAATAATGAATAACACCAGAATACCTCATTTGTTCATTATTAGCTCCTTGTGAGGTAATAAAATGCATCTTTTATAGTTGTCTGTTGCATTTATGCTATACTTTATAACCAATTCAATTCATTCATTTATATATTTAATTATTTATCAGTTAAGTATTCAATATAAAGATATCAGTGAGTATGTTTACATGCACTTAATAACAGATAACTGCACAAAATCAGATTTTGTCATTAATCCGGTCAACACAATAATGGGGAAACTGTGGGTCTAAATGAGTCAGGCAGTAATCGGATTTCTACTTTGCAACAAGTCAATAAACTCACAGAAGATGGCATGGCGTAAACATAACATAAAACTCAAACTTACCGCTGTTTTTTTTAAACATTGCACAAATTTACCTGAGAAAATGAATGTACATCATTTAGAAGATGAAGAATAGTTAAATCCTTTATTTCGTGTTTGGTTTCAGTGCCGCTCCAAAAGTGAAATCGGAGTACGAGTACACATGCACTGAGAAATCAGATTACTGAGCTAAAATCCAGCTGTCTTTATCAGTTTTCTAGACCGGAGTATGGGGTTTACATGGCCATTCGAATAATCGGATAACTACAGAAATCCGATTATAAGGATTATTGAGTGCATGCACATGCACTCGGTGATTTTATGTCCTGTACTGCAGATACATCAATATCGTATACACCATCCGGCCACTTCATTAAGTACCCCTCCTTGTACCTACACGCTTTGTCCATTTGATCAGCTCCACATATCATACAGGTGCACTTTCTACAGTTACAGACTGTAGTCCATCTATTTCTCTGCATACTTTGTTAAATTAAATTAGAAATGAAGGCAAAATTTGGTCCCAGACTTTTGAAGTCCACTATATTCTCTACCATTTTCTAATGTGTTAATATTGTGTTTTATACACACACACACACACACACACACACACACACACACAAATATCTATCTATCTATCTATCTATATATATGTGTGTGTGTGTGTGTGTGTGTGTGTGTGTGTTGATTTATTTGTTTATTTATATTATGTTTCAACAAATGTACACCAATAAAGTAAGTGTGTCCGAAAAAGTCTACACTGTGTGACTTTACTGGTCAAGTAGTCTTTTGCTTTCTCAAGTAGTCTGTATGAAACAGCCCTGCTAACACGACTTATGCAGCCTCTTTAAAGCACTGCACCATAACCTGCTTTCTGGTAGAAAAAGACTCACTATTTTCACCTTGCCCTCTCTCCTTTTCCATAGCTATTGGCTTCCATACAGTGATGTAAAATTGTTATTTATATCCTCTATAATCAGCTGAAATTAAGAAACCTTTTTTTTCTCTTACACTTCTACTGCTAGATAAAAAAGAATATATATTTGATATATTTTTTTATTACATGATGCAATCTATTTTACATTTCGTGCTGAAAAGCATCATTGGGTCGATGAAAGATGCTTCATTAATAAGTAAATGAATAATAATAACAATAACAACAATAGCGATAGTGATAATAATCTTTATTGGTAGTAGTATTCGTACACACTTTAAACAATGGTTCTTCAAGGGTTCTTTCATATAGAAAATGGTTCTATATAGATCCCTGAGCACTCACCATTCAACAGTGTAGAAGTAGTCAGCAGTTAGTAGTTGTTGTATTAGCTGTTGCAAAACACAATTCATTTGGTTAAAGACTCTGTTTCTTCTGTAAACAGTTACTGATTATTTAATTATGTAACAAACATCAAGATGATGTTTCTAAAACTGGAAAACACATGCTGCTTCTTTTATTTGAGTCTTCCTGCTGTCTTTTTCAGAAGCACAGAAATTTTCTCCAGAAGCTTTTCCTTTCTGTGGTCTTTTCTTTTGTTGTTTTCTTCTTTTCCTCCTTTTCCTTTTTCTCCTCCTTCTTCTTCTGCTTTTTCAGTTCTTTATTCGCCCTTTTCAGCAGCTTTCTCCATTCTTTCTTTTCCTTCTCAGTCAGCATGCTGTCGCTCGGGCACTGGCAAGCTTTATTCAGCTGCCTTGTGGACGGTATGATGTTGACCACTACAAGCGGACCTTCTTCACTCTCTCTGTCCTGCTCATGTGCCGCTTCTCCCGGCAGCTCATCTGTACATTCCAGTCCAGCCATAATTCCTCTGGTCTGGACACGTTCCTTCACCGTCACTTTAGGTGTTTTGGAATCGAGGGTGATCAGTACCTGCACCAGGTTCTCCTTCTGCCGGATGTCTTCATCCCACCTTTCTATGTGTTTTCCATCTGTCTCGTCTTTCTTTGCGTCCTGAGAACTGCTTGCCTCTTCCTCTCTTTTCTGTTCTTTCTCTCTTTTCTCTTCTCTCTCTGTTTTCTTTTCTTTCCCTTTTTTCTCATCTTTCTTTTCTGTTCTTTCTCTCTCTGGTGTTTTTCCTCTTTTCTGTTCTTCCTCTGTTTTCTCTTCTTCCTCTCTCCTCTGTTCTTTCACTATGTTCTTTCTGAGCATTTTCAGTTCCCTGTCCTTCTTTTTAATCTCTGCTTCCATCTCCATCACCTGTGAAAGCAGATATTTCTCCCAGCGGCTCTGCAAAGTTCTTTCCAGCTTTTGAACGTTTTCTTTCTGTTCTGTGATTTTTTCCAAAAGCTCCTTTTCTTGTTCCTCAAGTTGTTTCAGTTTCCGCTGGGCCTCCTCCAGTTCTCTGTTTATTTCCTCAAACATGGAAATCACCACAGCTTCCTTTCTCCTCTGTTCTTCCTCTCTCACCTGTTCTTCCTCTGTTTTCTCTTCTTCCTCTCTCCTCTGTTCTTTCACTGTGTTCTTTCTGAGCATTTTCAGCTCCCTGTTCTTCTTTCTAATCTCTGCTTCCAGCTCCATCACCTGTGAAAGCAGGTATTTCTCCCAGCGGCTCTGCAAAGTTCTTTCCAGCTTTTGAACGTTTTCTTTCTGTTCTGTGATTTTTCCCAAAAGCTCATTTTCTTGTTCCTCAAGTTGTTTCAGTTTCCGCTGGGCCTCCTCCAGTTCTCTGTTCATTTCATCAAACACTGAACTCTCCATAATTCACTAGTTAGAATGAGATCAACCTTGTCTACTCACGTTCAACACAACAGTTACACAAGTGCGCTCCTGTCAAAGTGAGAGTTTGAACGTCTGCAGCCTATATTTATGTAGGTTGATGACGTCACAGATCGCCATTGTGACGTCATCGTATATAAACCACGCTCCACAGAAAATGACGTCAGTCACGCATCACTCAGCATAATATGGCCTGCAGCTATAGGCCTGAATAAAGAGCTAATTTTGGGCAAAACGTTCAAATAAAATACTAAAATTCAAATAATTAATATATACTATATTAAATTATGTATTACTGATATCAGACGTATGACAAATTATTCCAGGATAAGTCCTGAATATCCTACAGTCTATTGTTCAGACAGTGCAAATTAGCTGAGTGAACAGGATGAGCACATGGCATCAGCAATGCGTACATATTACTGTAAAAGACCCTGAAAAAGAGGCATTTTGTTATTTTTAGTTGTTCATTCATTCCTCAGCTTTTCTTTGAGCGCACATGTAAGAATGCACTGACTTTTATTTTGTGCTATTGAGTCTCATGTTGCTGCGCATGTGCAAAAAACGGAGGGAAAACACGGTTTATGGAGACGGATTTTTTAACTGAAAACTCTGCAAACTTACCGTCTAACTGGAAGGGGAACAAGGTAATTTGATAACCTGAGCTCGAATTTCATTTTACTATTTCAAAGAGCTTGTAAAGTACTCGCAAAATGTTCTGTGGTCGTGTATATTGTTCCTCATCAGTTCTCGAGTTGACCATCGTTCAGCTGGGATTGCTGCAGTTGTTTGACCCGTGAGCTTCTCTCTCCAGAGAAATACAAAGCCAGTAGATTAATGACGGTGTAATGCTTGAGATGCTGCTCCCACAAAGCATAGTGAAGAACTGTCATACAAATGATTCAGACTGGTCTGGGTACAGGCAGCCCTTCAGATAAATCCATGTGTTGTGCACCTGTACGTACAAGGAGTGGCAAGGCCAGTTTAATGAGGGGCTTTAACCCCCGCCAAGATGTTATCCCCCAACCCTTTCCAAAATAAATATACATTACTAATTCAAATTATTTGTTTTATTCTCATTAATTCTTCATTATTCAGCGGCCATCGCGCCCCAAATTCACAATATACGGTGATAGCAGGGCGTGACCTGCAGGAAATGCTGCTGCCATAGACTGTATATAAGAGTATATGCAGTGCTGAGTGTAATGATTAAGTAAGAACCCGTTTTTGTTCAAACTGAGGGGCTGAAAACTTATTTTCTTTATTAGAACTAGGCTGGTCAGCTAGCCAACAGGCTAAAAGATAGCAAACATGCCAAACAACCCTAACATTAATGTCACAGGCTGGAAATTAAGTACTTACGATATGATTAACTGAAAAACAGTAGCTAATATAACCTACCGGTCTAAATAATGTCACCTGAATGGCTTACACGCTTCAAATATCCGTGTTTCAGTCAGAAGTAGCGTCAGACCCAGGCTGAATCTCTAACGGCTCCGCACTCCCTAGCTAAATATTGTGCTGTGTAACATTACGTTTAGAAATGTTAGCTTCTGCTGTCAAACAGTGCACTGCTTGTCAAGTATGAATGTGGACGAATCCCAACTGGCCTTTTTTAGCGATATATTTTGCATTGTACAAATGCCAGTGTTTAAATTCCTACGTAGTGCACTATGTAGGGAGCGGGGAGCTGTTGGAGATTCAGCCCCAGCGTGAGAAAAGTGGCGTCAGACTGGCAGAAGACGACTCGCCGTGGTAATTTGGTGACCAAAAAGTACTTATAAACTGAAAGTTTTTGCATTAAACAACGATATATTATCATATGTTCACTGGTATGTGAAAAAAGTAAATATGAAATGTCTGCAGTAAACAGTGATGGGCGAACTAACATTTTTCCCCTCCTTCAGCGGTCAGTGGTTGCTTAGCAACGATACCACACGCTAAATGAACTACATTTTTGGCAGAATACTTGTTTATGTCGGTTATTATTAATAATAAGTTAAATAATTATCTAAAACATTTTGATATTTTTTATGTTGGCTGCCGTTTTATGAAAGCAATAAGCCACTCAAGGCAGTGGGTTACTGCGATTTAATCACAGGGAAGGGAGTTTTAGGCCCTTTTCATGTCGTGCCGAAGGACTCCCTTCCTGTAACGCCGTGACAGAAAATCAGACGCTTGCGGATGACAAAATGAAGGTGGTTTATTAACAACAAACCAATCGGAAGCTCAAATCGAAGTCAAAAACACAGTCCAAAAGTCAAAACACAGATCCGTCAGAACAGCAAAAGTACCAAGGGAAGAGGCAAAAAGTCAAAAACAGAACAAATGAAGCAAAGGTAAAAACACAGAGTGTAATCAAACAGATAAATAACGCTAAGTAGGTTTCTAGGAAACAATACCTCGCAAAGATTCAGACTAAAGCCCGGGCTCAAATACTGCTAACTATCTGTCATATGATCATATGCACAGGTGAACAGTTAGTACTCAGGAGGTTGAGAGCGCTGATAGGTTCTGCGGTGAAAGTCCAAAGTCACATGAGACCCCATTGAATTCTGGGCAATGGAGTTCTCTCCGGAGCTGGATTCTGAGTGCGGATGTTCAGTCATGTGATCTCCCAGAGGATTCTGGGAGATGAAGTCCGTGTCTTCTATAGAGTTGACCGAATGCTCCTTTTATACCCAAGCATGATTGTGTCACCTGGATAAAATGGTTTTTAACATTTCACAATGTTTTTGATCTTAAAAAGCCCCGCCCCAACTTTTTTAGAATGTGCTGCAGGCATTAATTTCAGAACAAACATATTTACAAAAAACAACAAATTTTATAAGATGCAAAGAAATGATATTTAATCTTTTATGTTTTTTTTTTTGCTCAAATGCAGGTCAAAATAGAATTATAAATCATTGCTTTCTGTTATTTTATTTATTTATTTATTTATTTATTTTGCATTTTACCCACTATCTCAACTTTTTTGGAACTGGGTTTGTATATAACCTCTCATATCGAGAAGAAAGGGTCTTTTTGTTTGCTTTTGTATTAGTTAGGTTAGTAGTCGTAGTTGGTTTTCTTTGTTTCCCCTGAAACTTAGGTTTAGTTTTGATTTGTTTCTCTACTGTTAATTTTCTCCTTCTACTTAATAACTTTTGACCTTTGAACTTTGACTTGAAGAATACAAAATATCATTACTTCAACACTGGTTTTATGTACAGTTGGGGAACCAGAAGGCCATGAATGTCTTCTTTTCATGTTATGGCCTGACCTGGATTTTATACAGGTTTCTCAGTCATTTATGAGATGACTCGTATTAGACTCTTTATATCTGCAATATAGTGTGTGTTATATTAGTGAAAATAAATTGCGTGAATATATATATACTGCACAGAAATACAGAGCGCTGTCGTCTGACTCCACATTCTTCACAGTGAAAGATCCACTTTCAGCTTTTTCTTTATTTGCAGAGAATTTATCATGACTAATGTTTCCAAACTCTGGTTTATTGGCGGTCGTAATAAAAACTATGAGCTCCATGGGCTTCCCTTGTTGCTGTCGGAACCAGTACATGTAAATATAAGTGCTTCCTTTATTATGGTTGCAGTTCATTTCAGCTAGTTTATCTTTCTCAGCCCAGAGTACTCTGGGATTTTGAGTGACACCGCTGTCTCCTGCAAAACCTAATGGACAAAAAATGATGAAACATGATTAATTTAGTAATTTAAAGTATTTTAGATGAAATTCATTTTTTATTTGCTAGTAATACTAATTAAGATGCTCCATCATATTTTGTAGAATATGATACCTGGAGTCCATTGAAATGAGAAAGTCAGGATGATGATAATGCTGATCATACTGGATCGTGATGACAGCAGAAGAGGTTATGGGCTCCAGACTGCTGCTGATACATCCTGTTGAAGACCAGCTTGAGGAAATGACGTCAAAATCCTTCATTCACATGCTGGATTCTGAATAAACATATAAAAAGAGCGTAATAAGGAGCGCACTGTTTTAAAATTATAACTTAGAGTTATAGGATTACCTGTAAGCATGAGTAGCGATGCTGTATAATTTATTTTTATTTTATTTTTTCCAATCTATGATCTTCTTGCCTCTTTTTCTTAATCCTTTAACTGCGTGGTCACGTATGTTTCATGTTGTAAATTGAGGCACAAGTGGATCACAAATCTATCTCCAATTGTAAATATTATTTTCTGTGATTGCAATGAACATGTTAATCCACATATATCTACAAGGTGGGTTTAGTATTGTTTAAAACAGCTTTGAATATGACAAATCCAGTTATGTAAGTAACATCTCAAAGGCCCGTATGAAAAGAACACATTTTATTTATTTTTACCTTGTTATTGACATTATTCTCTTTGCGTGATTCTCAGTGTCCCTAAAGAGTTGCTTTCAACAGCTCAACCACCTGGTGGACATTTATAATCAACAATTTTAGTGGGTAATTTGAAAATCAAAAATCAGTTAAATATTGTTTGGTTTGATTCAAATAGAAGGATTTAACCCCCGAATAGCTCCTTGTGAGGTAATAAAATGCATCTTTTATAGTTGTCTGTTGCATTTATGCTATACTTTATAACCAATTCAATTTATTTATTTATATATTTAATTATTTATCAGTTAAGTACTCAATATAAAGACATCAGTGAGTATGTTTACATGCACTTAATAACAGATAACTGCACAAAATCAGATTTTGTCATTAATCCGGTCAACACAATAATGGGGAAACTGTGGGTCTAAATGAGTCAGGCAGTAATCGGATTTCTACTTTGCAACAAGTCAATAAACTCACAGAAGATGGCATGGCGTAAACATAACATACAACTCAAACTTACCACTGTTTTTTTTAAACATTGCGCAAATTTACCTGAGAAAATGAATGTACATCATTTAGAAGATGAAGAATAGTTAAATCCTTTATTTCGTGTTTGGTTTCAGTGCCGCTCCAAAAGTGAAATCGGAGTACGAGTACACATGCACTGAGAAATCAGATTACTGAGCTAAAATCCAGCTGTCCTTATCAGTTTTCTAGACCGGAGTATGGGGTTTACATGGCCATTCGAATAATCGGATAACTACAGAAATCCGATTATAAGGATTATTGAGTGCATGCACATGCACTCGGTGATTTTATGTCCTGTACTGCAGATACATCAATATCGTATACACCATCCGGCCACTTCATTAAGTACCCCTCCTTGTACCTACACGCTTTGTCCATTTGATCAGCTCCACATATCATACAGGTGCACTTTCTACAGTTACAGACTGTAGTCCATCTATTTCTCTGCATACTTTGTTAAATTAAATTAGAAATGAAGGCAAAATTTGGTCCCAGACTTTTGAAGTCCACTATATTCTCTACCATTTTCTAATGTGTTAATATTGTGTTTTATACACACACACACACACACACACACAAATATCTATCTATCTATCTATCTATATATATGTGTGTGTGTGTGTGTGTGTGTGTGTGTGTGTGTGTGTGTGTTGATTTATTTGTTTATTTATATTATGTTTCAACAAATGTACACCAATAAAGTAAGTGTGTCCGAAAAAGTCTACACTGTGTGACTTTACTGGTCAAGTAGTCTTTTGCTTTCTCAAGTAGTCTGTATGAAACAGCCCTGCTAACACGACTTATGCAGCCTCTTTAAAGCACTGCACCATAACCTGCTTTCTGGTAGAAAAAGACTCACTATTTTCACCTTGCCCTCTCTCCTTTTCCATAGCTATTGGCTTCCATACAGTGATGTAAAACTGTTATTTATATCCTCTATAATCAGCTGAAATTAAGAAACCTTTTTTTTCTCTTACACTTCTACTGCTAGATAAAAAAGAATATATATTTGATATATTTTTTTATTACATGATGCAATCTATTTTACATTTCGTGCTGAAAAGCATCATTGGGTCAATGAAAGATGCTTCATTAATAAGTAAATGAATAATAATAACAATAACAACAATAGCGATAGTGATAATAATCTTTATTGGTAGTAGTATTCATACACACTTTAAACAATGGTTCTTCAAGGGTTCTTTCATATAGAAAATGGTTCTATATAGATCCCTGAGCACTCACCATTCAACAGTGTAGAAGTAGTCAGCAGTTAGTAGTTGTTGTATTAGCTGTTGCAAAACACAATTCATTTGGTTAAAGACTCTGTTTCTTCTGTAAACAGTTACTGATTATTTAATTATGTAACAAACATCAAGATGATGTTTCTAAAACTGGAAAACACATTCTGCTTCTTTTATTTGAGTCTTCCTGCTGTCTTTTTCAGAAGCACAGAAATTTTCTCCAGAAGCTTTTCCTTTCTGTGGTCTTTTCTTTTGTTGTTTTCTTCTTTTCCTTTTTCTCCTCCTTCTTCTTCTGCTTTATCAGTTCTTTATTCGCCCTTTTCAGCAGCTTTCTCCATTCTTTCTTTTCCTTCTCAGTCAGCATGCTGTCGCTCGGGCACTGGCAAGCTTTATTCAGCTGCCTTGTGGACGGTATGATGTTGACCACTACAAGCGGACCTTCTTCACTCTCTCTGTCCTGCTCATGTGCCGCTTCTCCCGGCAGCTCATCTGTACGTTCCAGTCCAGCCATAATTCCTCTGGTCTGGACACGTTCCTTCACCGTCACTTTAGGTGTTTTGGAATCGAGGGTGATCAGTACCTGCACCAGGTTCTCCTTCTGCCGGATGTCTTCATCCCACCTTTCTATGTGTTTTCCATCTGTCTCGTCTTTCTTTGCGTCCTGAGAACTGCTTGCCTCTTCATCTCTTTTCTGTTCTTTCTCTCTTTTCTCTTCTCTCTCTGTTTTCTTTTCTTTCCCTTTTTTCTCATCTTTCTTTTCTGTTCTTTCTCTCTCTGCTGTTCTTCCTCTTTTCTGTTCTTCCTCTGTTTTCTCTTCTTCCTCTCTCCTCTGTTCTTTCACTGTGTTCTTTCTGAGCATTTTCAGCTCCCTGTCCTTCTTTTTAATCTCTGCTTCCATCTCCATCACCTGTGAAAGCAGATATTTCTCCCAGCGGCTCTGCAATGTTCTTTCCAGCTTTTGAACGTTTTCTTTCTGTTCTGTGATTTTTTCCAAAAGCTCCTTTTCTTGTTCCTCAAGTTGTTTCAGTTTCCGCTGGGCCTCCTCCAGTTCTCTGTTTATTTCCTCAAACATGGAAATCACCACAGCTTCCTTTCTCCTCTGTTCTTCCTCTCTCACCTGTTCTTCCTCTGTTTTCTCTTCTTCCTCTCTCCTCTGTTCTTTCACTGTGTTCTTTCTGAGCATTTTCAGCTCCCTGTTCTTCTTTCTAATCTCTGCTTCCAGCTCCATCACCTGTGAAAGCAGGTATTTCTCCCAGCGGCTCTGCAAAGTTCTTTCCAGCTTTTGAACGTTTTCTTTCTGTTCTGTGATTTTTCCCAAAAGCTCATTTTCTTGTTCCTCTAGTTGTTTCAGTTTCCGCTGGGCCTCCTCCAGTTCTCTGTTCATTTCATCAAACATGGAAGTCTCCATAATTCACTAGTTAGAATGAGATCAACCTTTTCTACTCACGTTCAACACAACAGTTACACAAGTGCGCTCCTGTCAAAGTGAGAGTTTGAGCGTCTGCAGTCTATATTTATGTAGGCCGATGACGTCACAGATCGCCATTGTGACGTCATCGTATATAAACCACCGTTCCACAGAAAATGACGTCAGTCACGCATCACTCAGCATAATATGGCCTGCAGCTATAGGCCTGAATAAAGAGCTAATTTTGGGCAAAACGTTCAAATAAAATACTAAAATTCAAATAATTAATATATACTATATTAAATTATGTATTACTGATATCAGACGTATGACAGATTATTCCAGGATAAGTCCTGAATATCCTACAGTCTATTGTTCAGACAGTGCAAATTAGCTGAGTTAAAAGGATGAGCACATGGCATCAGCAATGCGTACATATTACTGTAAAAGACCCTGAAAAAGAGGCATTTTGTTATTTTTAGTTGTTCATTCATTCCTCAGCTTTTCTTTGAGCGCACATGTAAGAATGCACTGACTTTTATTTTGTGCTATTGAGTCTCATGTTGCTGCGCATGTGCGAAAAACGGAGGGAAAACACGATTTATGGAGACGGATTTACCGAAAGTTTTTTTACTGAAAACTCTGCAAACTTACCGTCTAACTGGAAGGGGAACAAGGTAATTTGATAACCTGAGCTCGAGTTTCATTTTACTATTTCAAAGAGCTTGTAAAGTACTCGCAAAATGTTCTGTGGTCGTGTATATTGTTCCTCATCAGTTCTCGAGTTGACCATCGTTCAGCTGGGATTGCTGCAGTGGTTTGACCCGTGAACTTCTCTCTCCAGAGAAATACAAAGCCAGTAGATTAATGACGGTGTAATGCTTGAGATGCTGCTCCCACAGAGCATAGTGAAGAACTGTCATACAAATGATTCAGACTGGTCTGGGTACAGGCAGCCCTTCAGATAAATCCATGTGTTGTGCACCTGTACGTACAAGGAGTGGCAAGGCCAGCTTAATGAGGGGCTTTAGCCCCCACCCAAGATGTTATCCCCCACCCTTTCCAAAATAAATATACAGTACTAGTTCAAATTATCTGTTTTATTCTCATTAATTCTTCATTATTCAGCGGCCATCGCGCCCCAAATTCACAATATACGGTGATAGCAGGGCGTGACCTGCAGGAAATGCTGCTGCTGCTGCTGCTGCTGCTGCCGCCGCCGCTGCCGCCGCTGCTGCCATAGACTTTATATGGGAGTATATACAGTGCTGCCTCTGCTGGGCTGCCAGAGATTTAAGGAAAAGAAGAACTCCCAGCTCGGCCAATCATATCAGACCTCGTAAAATGTGAGCCAATCATATCAGACCTCGTAAGCTGTAAGCTAATCATATCAGACCTAGGGGAGGGTCTCTGCTTTCCTCGCTGTTGACAACCGCTAAGGATTTTGGCGAAAAGCTCATAAAAGTGAAGATTAGACTTTATTCAGAATCTTTAACACAGAGTGAATATATCCACCTACAGTATGCATTTGTGGCAAATTATGGGTAACATAGCTGGCTGTAAGGTTTTTACTCGGTTGCTTGTCAGCTGACTTTGGGTTCATGTGAGGCGAAGAACAGAGTTCAGGCTAACACTAACATTGTCTGTATAGCTGACAAGCCACCTAACCTAGTTAAAGAACTTGAAGACACTTTATAGTGAGAACCTGAGAGTGTGAGCGAGCGACAGAGATAGAAATAACATCATTGACATCTCTTTATATTCGTTGTTTTTATATTTCTTTTCAGTATTTAAAAAGATTGACACCGGTAAGTTAAGTTAAGTTAATACCAGTGAAAAAGTCATACGGTGTTGATCAAGACGCAGTTTTATAAAACGGATAGATCCGGTCCTAAAATCTGATTGGCTGAGCCGCGTTCGAAGCCGTTGTAAATTCCACGATATACCCCGGCTATGACCGCCTCACAGCAACTGAACTCTGTATTACTGCGCCACGGCACGAAAAACCCTTCTCCTGTTAACGGATTCATCTTCAACTCTAACGCTGATGGCGCGGAGCACCGAGTGTAAGTAAGAACCCGTTTTTGTTCAAACTGAGGGGCTGAAAACTTATTTTCTTTATTAGAACTGGGCTGGTCAGCCAAACAACCCTAACATTAATGTCACAGACTGGAAATTAAGTACTCACGATATGATTAACTGAAAAACAGTAGCTAATATAACCTACCGGTCTAAATAATGTCACCTGAATGGCTTACACGCTTCAGATATCCGTGTTTCAGTCAGAAGTAGCGTCAGACCCAGGCTGAATCCTAAACGGCTCCGCACTCCCTAGCTAAATATTGTGCTGTGTAATATTACGTTTAGAAATTTTAGCTTCTGCTGTCAAACAGTGCACTGCTTGTCAAGTATGAATGTGGACGAATCCCAACTGGCCTTTTTTAGCGATACATTTTGCATTGTACAAATGCCAGTGTTTAAATTCCTACGTAGTGCACTATGTAGGGAGCGGGGAGCCGTTTGAGATTCAGCCCCAGCGTGAGAAAAGTGGCGTCAGACTGGCAGAAGACGACTCGCAGTGGTAATTTGGTGACCAAAAAGTACTTATAAACTGAGAGTTTTTGCATTAAACCGTGCTGTATTATCATATGTTCACTGTTATATGAAAAAAGTAAAATAAATAAATAAATAAATAAATGTCTGCAGTAAACAGTGATGGGCGACTGAAGTTCTTCTCCTCCTTCAGCGGTCAGTGGTTGCTTAGCAACGATACCACACTCTAAAGGAACTACATTTTTTCATCTTTATGTCGGTTATTATTAATAATAACTTAAATAATTATCTAAAACATCGTGCATTTTAATATTTTTATGTTGGCTGCCGTTTTATGAAAGCAATAAGCCACTCAAGGCAGTGGGTTACTGCGATTTTTACGGGGAAAGGAGTTTTAGGCCCTCCGCTTCATGTCGTGCCAAAGGACTCCCTTCCCCACGATCAAATCGCCGTAACCCACGGCCTCACGTGGCTTATTGCTTTATTATATCCCTCAATTCCTCAGCCTGTAGATGAAAATCTAGAGGCAGCTGGTCCATCGAAAGCCAGTCAGATGAGGTTTTTTTACCAGTTAAAAATGACTAATCTCTCATTTCAATCTCTCAGTTTAATAAATTCATGTGTTGCTAAATACAAGTAGAGAGGGAGAGTAAGAAGCTGAAGGAGACTGACAGGGCTGAAGGAGCAGATCTCCTGGAGGTTAGTGAGCAAGAAGAAAGCAGGGAGATCTTTCAGTTAAAATGAATATTGAATTGAATTGAACTTGACTGAGAAAATATTTGTTGCTATGACAAAGTTCTGTCATCTAGTGTATTAAACATGCCCACAGGACAAAATCACACTCTTTCTGATTGCACCACCTAAGACTCGACTGATCTATAATCTGCGTATTTGAATAAGATATTGTAGCGTCCTGCTGCTGGCTCCCTGGCCGAGGTATGTTACGTTTAAACTGTTGGATTTTTTGCTGATGTATTTTTGGCAAAGTGGCGATCCTCGACCCATGCTTGCCCATAAAGGACTCAGGCTTTCCTGGATGCTCCTTTTATACCCAAGCATGATTGTGTCACCTGGATAAAATGTTTTTTTAACATTTCACGATGTTTTTGGTCTTAAAAAGCCCCGCCCCAACTTTTTTAGAATGTGCTGCAGGCATTAATTTCAGAACAAACATATTTACAAAAAACAACAAATTTTATAAGATGCAGAGAAATGATATTTAATCTTTTATGTTTTTTTTTTTGCTCAAATGCAGGTCAAAATAGAATTATAAATCATTGCTTCCCGTTATTTTATTTTATTTATTTATTTATTTTGCATTTTACCCACTGTCTCAACTTTTGGGAACTGGGTTTGTATATAACCTCTCATATCGAGAAGAAAGGGTCTTTTTGTTTGCTTTTGTATTAGTTAGGTTAGTAGTCGTAGTTGGTTTTCTTTGTTTTCCCTGAAAATTAGGTTTAGTTTTGTTTCGTTTCCCTACTGTTCAGTTTCTCCTTCTACTTAATAACATTTGACCTTTGAACTTTGACTTGAAGAATACAAAATATCATTACTTCAACACTGGTTTTATGTACAGTTGGGGAACCAGAAGGGCATGAATGTCTTCTTTTCATGTTATGGCCTGACCTGGATTTTATACAGGTTTCTCAGTCATTTATGAGATGACTCATATTAGAGTCTTTATATCTGCAATATAATATATATATACACATGCACAGACTGACTTGGACCCACATTCCTGGCCTGATTACTCGGCCCAGTTCAGCCTTTTTTATGAGAATATATCAAAATGAGTGCTCTTCATTAGTTAGGGGAGGAGTCCCCCTGTCTGTTCTGCTAGTTATTACAGTAACATCAGTACAGGTGTTTTTGTTCAGCAGTGTAATAGGACTGTAACACTGTGCTCACTCACTGCACAGAAATACAGAGCGCTGTCGTCTGACTCCACATTCTTCACAGTGAAAGATCCACTTTCAGGTTGTTTTTTAGTGGCAGAGAATTTATCATGACTAATGTTTCCAAACTCTGGTTTATTGGTGGTTGTAATAAAAACTATGAGCTCCATGGGCTTCCCTTGTTGCTGTCGGAACCAGTACATGTAAATATAAGTGCTTCCTTTATTATGGTTGCAGTTCATTTCAGCAGGTTTATCTTTCTCAGCCCAGAGTACTCTGGGATTTTGAGTGACACCGCTGTCTCCTGCAAAACCTAATGTGCAACAAATGATGAAACATGATTAATTTAGTAATTTAAAGTATTTTAGATGGAATTAGTTTTTTATTTGCTAGTAATATTAAGTAAGATGCTCTGTCATATTTTGTAGAATATGATACCTGGAGTCCATTGAAATGGGAAAGTCAGGATGATGATAATGCTGATCATACTGGATCGTGATGACAGCAGAAGAGGTTATGAGCTCCAGACTGCTGCTGATACATCCTGTTGAAGACCAGCTTGAGGAAATGACGTCAAAATCCTTCATTTACATGCTGGATTCTGAATAAACATATAAAAAGAGCGTAATAAGGAGCGCACTGTTTATAAATTATAA